TATACAGATTCTAGAGGTAACCATGAACATCAGGGGTTCCTTATGCTAACTGGTGCTAGGAAGTGTCCTTCTTCCTGGTCCTATCTCCTTCCAGCACTATTCAGATAACACTTACCATGACGACTGTGGAAGCACTTCTGTTGTGGCTTTGGATCAAGCAACAGACTCAGTTTGAATTTAGTAAAATCCAGACATAGCAGAAGTGTCTCTGTGATTGTCCTAATAAGCGCTATCCAAATAGTGCTGGCAGTTAGGAAGGAGGTAGGAAGAGGAGCTTGGATGCTGGTATTTTCAACAGGGACCTGCCAACGTTCTTATCTGATGCTTAGTATTTCCACAAACCTTTGCTCAACAAGTTCAAAAACAATCCAATGGACTTTGTTTCCAAGTTTGAAGATGTTTCGCTTCCCGTCCAGGAAGCTTTTTCAATTCAAAATGTGAGAAATAGCGTTGAGTTCCAGGCTTTATAGAGTGGACCAAAACAAAGCCTTGTTTTGGCTTAGAAAACATGAAAATTAAACCAGATGATCAGGTTTTCTCCTTTGGAATGGGGGTCGTTTGGCTTCTTTGTTAGCCTTTTTCTAATTGGAGAATTCTGACGGTACAGGTTACATAATGGACTCCTTCCCCTGTTCTGTAAGTGCAACATTGAAAAATGTAAGAACCTGATGCTGTTTTGATATTCTTATAACTACAGTGTTCCTACAGCATAAGGCAAGTTAAATTCAAGACTTTTTAATGCCACTTGAAATAACAATTTAAGACCAAATTCACAAGAACCAGAAAAACCTGCTTGCAACAACTTAACCCAAAGGTTTATTTTAACATAAACCACGGCACTAATGTTTCACATTTTGAAAAGCTTCCCATACAGGAAGAAAGCTAAAAACACACAAATGACAGATATATTTTAACAATTATTTAACTGAATTCACAAACTTTGTTTTAGCAGGGAACAAAACAAATCAGTTTTAAAGCCCCAACATAACCAGTGCTAAGTCTTTTTTGCAGCTATTTTTCTTTGTATTGTTTTCTTAGTATGTTTGATTTGGTGATAAGTGGAGGCGTTGCAGAGACAAGGGTGGAACTAAACTGAGAAATACCGGCTGTTTCTCTCTAACTCCATTTTGACGCTTTGTGTTTCGTGCTTCGCATGTGCGACTCCACTGCCTTAATTCCCATCGTTCTGAGCTTGAATGACTTCTTGCACAAAATCCACTGAGCCTCATGTATGTTCCCTGGTTTTAGCCATGGAGAAAACTCTTGGCTGGAGACAATTTTGGTTAGATTTACACTTGATCATATTTTCCAGACAAAAAGTAAATGCTGCATCTCCCAAATGTCCCGGCCGCAACAACGATTTTATTGGTTCCGCTATCGGGACGGAACCAATAATGGCGAGCCGTTATTTTTTTTTTATAAAAAAAAATTAAAAATAGTCAATTTTAACGTTTTATTTAGATTACAAAAATAAATCGTAACAAAAATAATCCTATTTAATCAGTCATGTTTTTAGACTGTAGGAGGAAGCTGGAGTACCCAGAGACATGCACAGGGATACATGCAGAAAGACAGCACCTAGTATTCCCAGGCAGTCTCCCATCCAAGTACTAACCAGGCCCGTGTTCAGGAGGCTAATGGCAATAAGCCATTTTATAAATGAATGCTTTGAAAACTATACCAGCTTCCAACTACAACAATCTTTCAACTTTTTTTTTGTTTGATGGTTACACCTAATTTTTTAACATCAATAAAAATCTGCCATGCTGCTATTACTAAGCAATTTCACACTCAATCTAATAACTGATTGTTTCACTCTTGACAGCAAAAACAGTTTGTGATCACTAGAAATGATTGGATTCATTTGGATCGAAGTTTATTGATCCCTTTGAGGAGGCATCCTCTGGGAAATTAGAACTCTGGCAGCAGCGTTGCACAAACAGAGAAACAGAAATTATAAAAACCTCCATCAGGAGAAATACAGTAAATCATCATTACTGTTATTGCACAGGATCTGTTGTGGATCTCCTTAAGTCAATTATGAGCTCCTTGGGTTTCTAGTGCTGAGCTGCAGATGATTCCTTCGTTACCAAACAGCCAGGCTCCTGTAATCCGCGCTACAATGGCTGCGTTGTCAGGAAACGACTGAATGTGACACAGATCAGAGTTCTTACAGAGGTCTCTGTCATCCTTGTGGATGATAGACCCTCTTTTGAATGCAGAATTGTTTTAATTATGTCTTATTTAGCTTGCTTTGTTGCAAATCATAGATTTTGATTTATAATTCCACATTTGAGGACCTTTGCTTGTTATACAAAATATTTGGCAAAGAGGCTACTCAAGTAAATAAAAACATTTGATTCGTAGACATAAAAACCCTAGGATCACTGCCAATTATAGTTTTTTCCAGGACAAAAAATGAAATGAACAGAAGAAAAACTATTCCATATACATTTTTTTTCACCATTTAACAGTGTAAAATATTTACTGTTAGCTAACTTGACCTCCAAAAGTGAGCAGTTCTAGATGGGGGGCCAACAGGGGGCCTGTGCCCCTGTAGAACTGGTCTTGGCTCCTGTTATGACTGATAGTTAGAACTGTGGTTTTGTTATGGACATCTTCAACCCCCATAAGGATGGCGTCGGCTTATTTAAGTTTCCGTAGGATCCAGAGCTGCTTTCAAAGGCTACGTTCGATCCGATTTTTTGTCCCATATGGGACCTGGATCTGATCTTTTCATGGCTGTCTGAACAACACAGATCCGAATTTTTCCAATGCGACCCAGGCCACTTGGCTCTGTGGTCCTGAATCCGATACGAATCTGATCTTTTCAAATGCGATCTGTGTCTGAACGGCCAGGTCGGATTAATCGGAACTGAACGTCATTAATACCCGACAAACGTCACTATTCTGCGTCTTGCTACGCAGAAGCGGCAAGAAAAACAACAACCATGGCAGATGATGATGCGGAGAGCAGTATTTATGTTTAACCATATTGAAAAGATTGTTTCTATGGTATGAAAACACCGCTAGATGCGCGCCGGCACTACCATCCATGTTTAATTTCAGAAAAAAAGAGCACGCTGGCCTGTGACGTCATTGCGTCCTCTACTGCGCATGCGGGACACTTGCGTTATGTGACTGCAGTTCACACAGGAGATCACATACAAGTTGCATTAGTTGGAAATATGAACGGCAACGTAAAAAAATCAGATTTCGCACAAAAAAAAACGGAATTGAGCATCAAGGCCTGCAGTGTGAACGTAGCCAAAGTGGGTGAAGCAGGTCAGACGAGATCGGGGAAAGGTTGGAGCACTGCATGGTGGCTTTTTTTCTGTGCTTAGAACATTTTGAGAAGGACATGTTTTTTATTTTGTGCCCTTATTAAAAAAGTTGCTTTGTTGTCCAGTAAATATTGACCCAGAGCTCCTGCCAAAAGCCGTACCTACGGCGTTTCCCTCAGTGGAGAGACAACATTAGCCGCTCTTTAAGTCAGACATGGATGGATTGTTATTAAGATCATGCTAACGTCGTTCCCAGTGCTTCCACTTCCAGCTCCGCATCCGAGCTAAGATGATGCTGAAGTGAGATAAATGAAAAAATATTCAGAAAAGCAGCAGAGGCTGATGTGGAGCTAAAATCATAGATTGCTGCTTTTCCAGATGATGATCCAAAGCTACCTCTTTTTAGCCTCTGTAGTCCCTCAGTCAGAGTTTAACTTTGTGGTCAGGTGTTTTATAGGTTCACACTTTTAACAGAAGGTTCAGAGGAATTTATGTTGTGTTTTTTTTTATTAGGATGAGGGTTTCACATTGTTTTTAGGATGGAAACAGGCAAATCTGACAACACTGAAAATGAAGTATGGATGGAGGTGCTAGCTATACCTTTTAAGAATATAGCAGATGATTTATTGGATTTATTGGATTTGCTCCGCATATCCATCTGGAAACCCTCCGTTGAAGTAATTTTGGGAAGGGGCGAAAATACTGGTTAGCTGATTGGCCTATGTTGGTGATAGACGGGCCAAATAAACCAATCAGATCAACGAAGCATATGACGTACTAACAGAGCGACGACGAAAACACAACCACAAGCTAGGCTACTCTTGCCGAAACCAGTCGGGAGAAGAGCAAAAACATCTTTTCCTCTGAGAAAAGCCTCCCGAGCAGTGTTTTGCTCTTCTTTCAGTGAAGAAATACTCTGTAATTCCGATAAAACTTGCTCGATAGCCACGCTAACGCTAGTTTCATCGGCTGAAGCCGCCATGTTCTTTAGACTAAACTGTCGCGCTTCTCGTTGCGTCACACCTCAACCCGCCTCAAAGCCAACGCTGATTGGACATTCGTTTGGTGAACGGCTCCAAATTTTCTTTAACGGAGAGTCTCCAGACTGATTAGCGAGTGAAACCTTGAAAGCTCGCGAGATCAGGATGGTCTTACGAGGCTAGGCTGCTGTGGCCACAGTGTGATATTTAAACAGCTTGAACTGAAATTTTGCTACTTTACATTTATAGTAGAAAGTAATCATGCCTTTAATTATATTACATCTGCTGATCATGACACTTAACACACTTTTATGTTCCCTAACAACTACAACAGGTACAAAGATTGGACCAACTTTTAAGGCTCTCAAAAACGTTGATGTAAAGAAGTGTTGCTTTGCATCAATAGTGTGTTTCAGCCACAGATGAAGGTCCAGGGTAACCAAGTAGCATGTTTTCTTGAAATTCAAGCAATTGTTAATTTTTTTGGTTAAAATAGCCATATGTTTTCAAAAGACTTTTTTTTTTCAGGAATGAGAAAACGATTTAAAATCCCCGTAAAATATGTATAGCAAAACTGATGTACAAGATTTGACAAACAATCAGCAATATTGTCCGACAAATTTCTCAGTATCAGTTCAACATCTGGCTGATACACTTTAACATTTACTTTTGGCTTATAAGATCTCTTATAAGATGTCTTCAGATCTTTTACAAAAACTGCTAAAGTGAGAATCTATCAAGGCTTCATCTTTCTTTATTTAAGCTGAATGATACAACCAAACAGAGCAAGGATGCGAGACGTGTTCTCCAACAGATCCTAATTTTCCTCATACAGCTAAAGTTTATTGCTTCACCATTAGAACTATCAGCCATTTTTGTAATATCCTGCAGTAGCTCACATTAAGCACCGCTGCCACGGAGCCAATTTGCTTTTAATGGTCTGTGGTTGATTTAGCCGAGGACTCCACAATGTCAGCTTGAAAGATGGTAAAACTAAGCCTCTGAGCTCAGAGGTTCAGTACAGATGACTTTATTTCCAAAATAAAACACATTATTTCTGTGGTGTCATTTCTCAAACCACTACTAATAGTGGATATGTAATCTAAAATGCATGTAAACACCAGCAGAGGTTGAAGAGTTTAATGAAGGAGGCAGTTGTCTTCTTTCCTGAAAAGGAAAATAACAGAAGGCGTAAGATTTAACATGAAATGCATATGATGAAAAACCTATTAACCGTTATGTAGAAATATCTGATTCAAACGCCAATGATCAGTTGGTCACATAAGACACTGTGTTGATGAGTGGGATTTGAGTTTGTCTAATTAATTAGGGGAGTGGCGGCCTAGTGGTTAGGGCATAGGGCTTAGAATCCTGGGGTTGTAAGTTTGAAACCCACTCGCACAGACTGCCACTCTGGGCAAGACCCTTAACCCCTGATTGTGCTCCAAGATGGCAGCCCACTGCTCCCCAAGGGGATGGGTTAAATACAGAGGTAAATTTCTCCAATGTGAGATCAATCAAGTTCAATTATTGTAATTATTAATTCAATCATTCTTTCATTCATTCGTTTATCCATCCACCCTCTTCTGCTTCTGCTATCTGGGGTTGGGTCACGGAAGTAGCAGCTGAAGTAGGGAGGCCCAGACAACCCTCTCTGCAGTCACTGGTGTTCCCAGCCCAGCTGATAACCATTGTCCCTCTGGCGTATCCTGGGTCTTCATCTGGGTCTCCTCCAGGTGGGACATGCCTGGAAAACCTCACCAAGAAGGTGTCCAGGAGGCACCCAGACCTGATGCCCCACTTCACACTCTGCTGCAAATCACTCCAGCAAGAGCTGAACATCACAGCCTGCAAAAAGTAGACACCAAGACTCAAAGGCCACCAAAACCGATCCCTTTAAAGGACCGTCTTTAAAGGACTCCGCCTACTGACCCACAACACCCCAAATTGAGGTCTGGAGCACACCATGCCCACTATAAACAGTGTTTGTGCGGCACTACTTTCACCTTCCGAGACACCAAATGGTGGACCAGAATCGCCTCGAAGCTGTAAGGAAGTTTTTCTCTGCATTCTTCTCCGAATTTTTGTCTCAAAAACTAACCAAGCCTCATGCCTTTTTGGACTTATGGTAACTATCAGTAACTATCAGTTTCTGTGGTCCCACAGGCCAGAAAAGCCTGATAGAACTTCTTTTGAACCTGAGAGCATTCCTCACCTCTGATCTCCATTGGTGGGTTGAAGGGTTGCTGCAGGAATAGGCACCAACTGCCTTGACAAGGGAGATATGGAGCATAGCCCACTGAGACTCAGTGTCCCACACCTCCCCTAGAATGTGTCTGAAGTTCTCCTTCAATGTTCCATCTCAAGGGAGACTCTTACAGATTTTCCTAGCAGACCCACACAATACGTTTTGCCCTGCCAGGTCTGACTCCCATCCTCCACTACCATCGGTGCCAACTCAACCATCAGGTAGTAGTTGGTGGACATTCCACCCACCACTTCACCCAAGGGTCCAGATGCAGAAGAGATGAGCCAGTTCAGATGAAACGACAACAAAGTCCATCACTGAACTACGGCCTGGGGTATCTTGTGCCAAGACAACATATCGACACCTTGATACTTCAACATGACGTTTTTTATGGACATGATGAGCACAGAAGTCCAAAAACAGCACGCTTCTCAGGCTCAGATCAGGTGGGCCACATCTCACTCTCTCTGCCCAAACAAGTGTTGAAGTCCCCCATCAGAACAGGGGAGTCCCAGGGTGGGAACTCTCCATCACCCCCTCCAAGGACATCCAAAAGTTTGGGTAATCCGAACTGCTATTTGGCATATAAACACAAACAACAGTCAGTCCCCCAACATGTGGGCGGAGCGAGGATACTCTCTCGTTCACCGGCTTTATCCCAAACATACAGGCACCAAGAAGAGGAGCAACAAGTATGGCCACTCCTACTCGTTAATTGGTTTAAAAGTGTTAAGTTTAATTCATATTTGGACAGGTTCATAGAGTTTGGTAAGTAACATGTGCATGCTTTTGAAAAATGAATGGACATAAGGGAATATTCCCAAAAGAGAAAAAAGTAGGAGCTATAGTTACAGGCTCCTACCAAACGTTTGGTAATCCAGGTTCAGAAAGTAAAAATCCTGTACAGAAATCTGAGACTTGCTTCATAAGGCAGGTTTATTACTGAAATCAGGTTAACTCTGAGTTTTCTGTTTCAAAAAGGGAGTTAAACCTGCATTGTGAAACGGGCCTCAGCTCCAATCTTTTGCATTTCATAGACTGTGGTTAGGGTAGGTTAATGATAAAGGTATTCTGTTTCGAGTATTAGTCCTGGCTTGTTTACATGTCTCCCTGACTACCTATTCAATCTACCTGCACTCCTCCCCGTATAACCAGTCTGTGAGCAGTCATTATTGCCAGATTATTGAAAGCCTCACAGCCAGCTTAGGTCTAGCATTTCTTCCTTTCCAGATAGGCTAAACCCGACCTTGTTTTTGCCTCACGGTTTCAACACCAGTTTACCCTCACCTGTGTACGCTGACATTTTTGGACACTGACTTAGTATTTTACCTTTGACTGTAGATCTTTGCACCGTCCTCGGATACCTCCACCTGATTCTAACCTCTCGTCTCTGACCCTAATTCTGCCACACAACCAACAAGTTCTGTTTTTTCCCTGATCTAAAAGGCATGACATGTTTATTACTGATCAAATCTAATGGGTTATTTTGCTGCACTTGAAACCAACAGAGTTTTAATGGCATTAAATGAAATTATATTAACAACTTATATGACTTTGATTAAGTTTTTGTTAGGAATCCAGTTTATATGGGTTGTGCTTTTGTCTGTCTTCCCTCCACCACCAGGCGGCGCCTGGTTCTCGTTGGCCTCCTCACACACCTGCGGATGGTTACCTCATTACCGAAGGACTCTTAAGCTGCTGACTGCCACTACCTCGACGCCAGACTGTTTGCCAGTTTTGGGTACTCTAGCCAAGCTGAGTTTGCTGAGTCAAACTGAGTTTTTGTCATCCTGAGTTTTAACCTTGCTGTTTTTGTTTTTGTCTTTGCCTCTCGGCAGGAAGTCATCCTGCAAACTGGATGTTTTGCACCTTCTCCCCCCTGGAAGGATTCTCTGAGCATCAAACTGAGCTGAGGATTCAAGCTTGTGGTTTGGATCTACTTTTCCCCAAAGGATTGTTTGGGCGTCTCTCTGAGCAGGGGATTCATCTCCACAAGAAACTGTTCAAGTACCGCAGGAAAATTAAGTGGCAGTCAGCTCCTCCGTTCCTCAAGGAAAAAACGCAACCTGCGGTAAACCCTGTCCGCCCTCCAATGAGCAAGTCATTCACTGGAACAACCCACACCGACTGGATTCAACAAGAGACACCTTTTTCTGGAAACGTGAGTCCTGTTGCCTTAATTCCCTTCTTCAAATCGAAGACACAAATTTCCCTGAGCCTGAACTGACCGCAGAATCTTCCCCTTCACTTTTCAGTCCCGGTTGGACAGTGTTCAGAGAAGCACTGGACTCATCTCAACCTACTCAATAAAACCTGTTAAACTTTTCCCTGGTCTCTCTGTTTGGTCTTCTGCATGTGGGTCAGAGCTTTAAACAAAATCATGACAGTTTTGGACCATGACCTGACTATTAACCCTCCTATTTTTATATATTACTAAATAGCTTGAAGAAAAAAAAAGTCCTGATTGGAACATCCCTACCTTTGAATTATATCAGCACAATGTTATGAGAAAGTAGCCCAAACCAAAGCTTGCAAGGAAAATAAAACTCCCTAACCAAACCCACACCATCAAACTATTCCCCTTAAACTTTAGATGGTAAAACTTACAGCGACAAAGCGGCACCATCCAACCTCTCCGGACTGATCAGGTATCAGAGTGGACCAGGAGAAATTGACCTCCTTGCTAAAACTTCATCTATCTCAGCCCCTGTGGCCCCCTAAAACAGGAAGCAATTTAATAGATATAATTACTCTGGGATGCAAAGCAGGTTTCCTTATTTATTCTAACAAGCTAACTTTATCAAGAATGCAAAAGAAGACTGTTTCTAGAGTTAATATTTTAGCACCCTGTGTGACATCACACCTCATTACTTACAAAGACAAGTCGACGTACAGCTTTTGGTGTTGATAGAAGACTTCGAACTTGCTCATTGAGCTCCTCCCATGTTCGGTGAGAACTGGACATCAGAAATAAAAAAATAAAATCAACTTTACTTTTCAATTCAGTTTATTTATATAGCACCAATTCACAACACACATCATCTCATGGCATTTTATAGAAACAATTCAACCAGATCATCCAGTCAGATTTATTCAAAGTTTTCTATCTAAGGAAAACCAGTTGACTGTATTGACTGAGTGACTCTTCAGCAATCCCTCGCACCAAGCATGCTTATAGCGACAGTGGAGAGGAAAAACTACCTTCTAACAGGAAGAAACCTGCAGCAGAACCAGGCTCAGTGTGAGCGGCCATCTGCCGAGGCCTTTTAATAACCAATATTTTTTTTTTCAGGACCAGACAACGGGTAAAGCTAAAAAAAAATAAATAAATTCTAAATATTGTGAAAAAATTTCATATTTTCCATCACTCACATTAGACAGTGACTGGGGAAAAATACTTCTGTTTCTTACAGATGAGAATCCAAACATCAGTTTCTTATGATAAATTATATAAGATGGTATAAAAAGGGACTTTTTAATACCTTTAACTAATTTCTTTTTGTAGAAATAAATGACCCAATTTTCCAACCAACAATCATCGTCCACATACTCTTGTTAATTTGCTGGATTTTTTGCTAAATTTATCAACGGTTAAGGGCCTTTTAGCAATTTTTGTTCAATTACGTGACTAGAGAAAAAATCAAGTTACTTTTTGATGTTGTTGGAGACTTTGGCGTCAACACTGAAAAATTTTGGAGTTAAATTATATATTTTTTCACATTAACTTTTTTCAAAAAAATTTTTTTTTTTCTCCTTTTCAGATTTGACAAATTGTATTCTTTTTAAATTGCGTTTTACAGATCACATTCTCTGGTACTGGTACTTTTGGGGCGGGCTTTACCCTGCATGAATGTTAGCAAATCTCTATTGATCAAGAGTGAGGGTTTTTTTTACTTAAAGAGAATCTGATCTGCACAAAGGAAATTGAATTGAATGCAATTCATAAAAATCAATCAGAAAAACAGAACTTTGAATAAATAAGAATGAACAAACAAAAATGGGAAAAATAGAGAAAATTTAGAAGACAAAGGTTTTTATTTTTTATTATTTTTTTATTTCAGATTTGCATTGTTTATAAAATTTACTTTTACAAAACCTGTTCTTTGGCTAGCCACATTGATCCTGTTTACCACCCAGGTTTATTTAATGTGTATCTGCTCCCATAGAATCAGTTCGGAAAAGAATTGCTGTTTTTTTTTATAGGGTAGTGCAGTAAAGCTTCTGTCTTTAACATTTTGTCCTACATTACTTTTACTTTCATACTTTAATTAGTTTTAAAAATGCTAATTTTACACTTTTACTTGAGTTGAAATCTTAAGTTGACATTCTAACCTGTACAAAAGTGTTTTTAAACAGTTGGATTTATACTTTTACTGGAGTATTTAACATTAATACTTTTAACACCTCTGTAAATCATGCAAAAAATCTCCCACGCACAAGAAACAGCAGTTAATTCGAATCACTCAGAATGGGAATGGAGGATAAAGCGATTTCTAGTCCTTAGATTCGATCCAGTGGTATGTATACCGGTAGGTACAAACCATTTACCATCTGCCAAAGGAAAATCGCTGAAATCAGGACATCAAGGCACAGACGGGTCATGCGCTATAGGCTACGAATGACGCAGCACTACGAGCCATTAGAAGAAGCACCAACCAAGTACTGAGGGCATAGAAGTAAACATATCTTTCTGAAAACATGCTTTTTTAAATCTAATGTAATAATCTATTTGCTGAGTCAGTAATGTTTGGATTTTCTGTATCTGTATTCCAAAATTTCCCTTTCTGGAATAATAACCACATTGACCTTTTCCCAGTTTTCTAATTTTCAGAGCTCGGCTACCTATAGCTGAGAAACCAACCTGCCGTAACGGGGCGGTTCCCTGCAGGATGGCTGTAGTGTTGGGAGGACGGGACCACCAGGGCAGCCAAAGGGCTCTTGTGCTTCTAAATAACTGGAATCCAACTCGGATGTTTTTCTCACCTGCTGAAGAACAAAAAACTGCAGAACGTAAAATACGACAGCAACCATATCTCTAAAAAATAAAGCAACAATATTGCATTGAAGTATATTTGATTGCAAAGTATGTTTAATCTTTGTTAAATTGATTTAAAGGTAAAGTCTGGTCAGCAAGGAATGATCAATGGATCATTATTTATACCTAAAGCTAATACGTTTGAGGTGATTTAATGAATTTAGCGTTAATCAGTAAAAAAATGAATATAATACTTTTCGGCGTGATCACTGAGTCTGGGGTCGGCCATTTTTGCTCAAATATAGAAGCCCCTCCCTCCTGCCATCTTCCAGCAGTGACGTCACGGTGCGGTAAGCCTAGCGCCATTCTCCCCGCTTTCCAAGCTAAATCAATGGGAACTACTAGACACATCTGCAATCAACAACAATTATTGAAGATTTCCAGAGGACTTCACCATTGAAATTCACCAGAGCTATAGTGAAACTGACAATGCCCACGTGCATGGCAGCTGGATGCTGGAATACATCGGGTAAAAGTGGAAAAAAGAGTTATTCCACCTTTCTGATTCCTGATCCTCCACGGACGGGTTGGTCGTTGGATCGCCAACTTGAAGAGGGAGGATTTGCCATCGAACTTCTGGCCAGAGAAAAAACCCGTAATATGTAGCCAACATTTGGAAGAAGAATGTTTTCAAGATGACTTGGATAATAGCGCGTTGTGACAAACACCAGATACAGTACTGGGACTTGATCAACAGCCGATACCGCACCGTGACGTCACAAACCAGTAGGTGGCAGTAGTGTTCTTTGACAAACATGGATGCCTCCAGTGAAGCACATTCACATGAAAATTACTCTGAATTAAAAACACTGATCATTTATTGAACAGGATGGAATCATTTCATATTTAAAGTACTTTCATAATTTTGAATTCTGAATATGACCAGACTTTACCTTTAAAACCATTATTTTTTCAGGGTTACAATGATTCCCTTCCTAATGGAACCCTGGTAAAAACCAAAAAATACAAAGCTATAAAACATCCAATTTGCGTTATTGTGCTGTTTTATTAAACATTACCTTTTATAATCACAGCTATGCGTATATATTACAGTTGAGTGTCTTGTCTCATTTGTCCCACCACACACAACAGAATAGTGTAGATAAGTACCCAATGTTTTCAAACATGTAGCCCTTTTGATGAATTAATTTAATAATTAATAAATATTAGATGTCTTATTGTTTATAATTTAACTCCCAGCTGTATTTATTGTTCCATTTGCATTTTAAATCATAAATAGTAAATTTCTAGTTTCTTTGCATAGTAACCAGGTACTCTTTCAGTAACTGAGTTACTGTCTCAAGTTATTTACTTATAGAGAATTAACTAATTACCTTTTTCAATTAAAGTTTCCTACAATGTATGAAGTTGGTAAATAGTAGGCGTACAATCGTCTGACAGTGTCTCCTCATCATATAGCTGTCGGCAGTGTTGGGCCTGAACGCGTTCATTGAACGAAAGTTCATGAACTCGTTCATATTTTGGGCGAACGTGAACTGAACGTACTGCATTATTGCCTGATGAACGTTATTGTGAACTCGTTCATTCTGGTGTCTGTGAACGGCACGCTCTCTCAGTTCAGCTCCGTTCAATAGGTTGCCAGATTTCTATAGAGTCCTCCAGGCGAAACCCCGGCTAAATCACACCGTAAACAGGCCTTAATATGTAGCGGGAAAAACACCCAATCTGGCAACAGCAGCTACCAGCGTCGTAGCCTACAGCCGCGTGCGTCATCAAAACAAAAAGCAGCGTGGAAGCCACAGCAGCATGGAGGCGACTTAAAACAGGTTTATGACCAGGTGGTCGGTGAGGATGATGGCAACAAGTTTGCCCACCGGCTTTCAGTAAAAAAATCCGCACTTCAGTAACCTTAAATTCCTACCTCAGCCTGGTCCCTCAGTTTGTGTTAGTAAAATCTTTTTGAGCGGTCTTCAACGGGGGATCCGCGACCCCTAGGGGGTCTACGGAGGTACTGCATGAGGGTCTGCATGGTTAGTTGATATTTTTATATTCCCCCCCTGCAATTTTTTTTCCCACTAATTGAAATGTCTTTAAATACTCATTAACATGAAATCAACACACTGTAGTAAACAGATAAATGGAGGCAGAAGATGTCTTTCAGTCATCAATGCTCACATTCAGCGACACACAGGAGCTCTTTCAAGCTGGGCACCGTTTCCTTCACAACAACCAGGAATCAGAATCAGAAAAACTTTAATAATCCCAGGGAGAAATTAATTTCTTTACATTACTCCATCTGTAATAGAGTGACTATAGGAAACAATTTCATACAATATACAGGTGCTGGTCATAAAATTAGAATATCATGAAAAAGTAGATTGATTTCAGTAATTCCATTTAAAAAGTGAAACTTGTATATTATATTCATACATTACATACAAACTCATATATTTCAGATGTTTATTTTGTTTAATTTTGATGATTACAAATGACAACAAATGAAAATCTCAAATTCATCATATCAGAAAATTAGAATATTGTGAAAAGGTTCAAAATTGATGGCCCCTGGTGCCACACTCTAATCAGCTAATTAACTCAAACCACCTGCAAAAGCCTTTAAATGGTCTTTCAGTCTAGTTCTATAGGCTACACAATCATGGGGAAGACTGCTGACTTGACAGTTGTCCAAAAGACGACCATCGACACCTTGCACAAGGAGGGCAAGACACAAAAGGTCATCGCTAAAGAGGCTGGCTGTTCACAGAGCTCAGTGTCCAAGCACATTAATAGAGAGGCGAAGGGAAGGAAAAGATGTGGTCGAAAAAAGTGTACAAGCAAGAGAGATAACCGCACCCTGGAGAGGATTGTGAAACAAAACCCATTCAAAAATGTGGGGGAGATTCACAAAGAGTGGACTGCAGCTGGAGTGAGTGCTTCAAGAACCACCACACACAGACGTATGAAAGACATGGGTTTCTGCTGTCGCATTCCTTGTGTCAAGCCACTCTTGAACCACAGACAGCGTCAGAAGCGTCTTGCCTGGGCTAAAGAGAAACAGGACTGGACTGCTGGTGAGTGGTCCAAAGTCATGTTCTCTGATGAAAGTAAATTTTGCATTTCCTTTGGAAATCAAGGTCCCAGAGTCTGGAGGAAAAGAAGAGAGGCACTTCATCCACGTTGCTTGAAGTCCAGTGTAAAGTTTCCACAGTCAGTGATGGTTTGGGGTGCCATGTCATCTGCTGGTGTTGGTCCATTGTGTTTTCTGAGGTCCAGGGTCAACGCAGCCACATACCAGGAAGTTTTAGAGCACTTCATGCTTCCTGCAGCTGACCAACTTTTTGGAGATGCAGATTTCATTTTCCAACAGGACTTGGCACCTGCACACAGTGCCAAAGCTACCAGTACCTGGTTGAAGGACCATGGTATCCCTGTTCTTAATTGGCCAGCAAACTCTCCTGACCTTAACCCCATAGAAAATCTATGGGGTATTGTGAAGAAGAAGATGCAATACACCAGACCCAACAATTCAGAAGAGCTAAAAGCCACTATTAGAGCAACCTGGGCTATCATAACACCTGAGCAGTGCCACAGACTGATCGACTCCATGCCACGCCGCATTGCTGCAGTAATACAGGCCAAAGGAGGCCCAACTAAATACTGAGTGCTGTACATGCTCATACTTTTCATGTTCATACTTTTCAGTTGGCAAACATTTCTATAAATCCTTTGTTTTTATTGGTCTTCAGTAATATTCTAATTTTCGGATATGATGAATTTGAGATTTTCATTTGTTGTCATTTGTAATCATCAAAATTAAACAAAATAAACATCTGAAATATATGAGTTTGTATGTAATGTATGAATATAATATACAAGTTTCACTTTTTAAATGGAATTACTGAAATCAATCTACTTTTTCATGATATTCTAATTTTATGACCAGCACCTGTATATAGTTAGGGGGTCCCCGCTCCATCTCGCCATCAGTTTGGGGGTCCTTGGTCTGGAAAACATAGAAGACCCCTGTTCTTGAGGGTTTTACTATCCATGTAACTTGTTTGTTAAACCTGCCTGGTATAATTTTCCAGGATTCCTTTTTAGTATGTATTGAAATGGAATTTCAAATGGAAAAAATTATTAAAATAAAAAAAAACATTTGCACCTTAAAGACTACTTTCCTATTTTTCTTTTAATAATTCCTCATAAAAAAGACCATTCAAGCAGCACATGTTTCGTGATGTTTTTGAGAATATACTGTAGGGGTGAAAGCTGCAGCTGCTACTAGTGTGAAGTGAATGGACAGCAACAAAGCATTAAAGCAACAATGGGGAAATCTGTCCCCTCAATGCTAATGTAAACCCTGGTTGGATAAGGATTCAAAACTGGATATGAAGATGAAATCTGACGCACAGTTTCAGTGTTACAACTGATAAAATAATTGCCGTCTGTGGTTCTACAGTAGGCTATGGTGTAATTGAGCAATATATGAAAAAAAAAAAGAACTATGAACTAGTTCATTTTTTGGAATTGTGAACTATGAACTGAACTAGTTCATTTTAAAATGTGTGAACTGAACTTTGAACTAGTTCACGTAGAAAGAGAACTTTCCCAACACTGGCTGTCGGTCTGTGCTACAGGTATGCCGCTCTGACGATGCATGCTAACAGGACAGATTTAGCAGGGGGAAGTAAAAAAAAAAAAAAAAACCCACTAGACTTTGCTTCCAAGTTTGAAGACGTTTTGCTTCCCATTTCTCGACATTTAATTCAAATGTCAGAAATAGAGTTGAGTTGCTTTATACAGTAGCCCAACAAAGCCTTGTTGTTCAGAGACATAGACAGGTGTAGATGTACCGTAGAGTCTTCGGTACCCCTCGGGACAAGACTCTGTGATACATCTACACCTTATGGACAAAAGACATTCATTTTAGGAACAGAATGTTCACATTTTGGACAAAGAAAACAGGTAGTTTGAGAGGGGCATGAAGGAAGCCATGTATGTTAAGAAAGAAAAACCAAACTTAAACAGACTGTCAGGATCCCAGTTTTTGTGTTCGTCTGTTTGTCTTGTCTTTTGTGTTTTCTCCCTTCCACCACCAGGAGGAGCCTGGCTCCAGTTCGCCTCCTCACACACCTGCAAGCTGTTGCCTCATCACCGGACTGCTCTTAAGCTGCTGGTTGCCACTACTTCGACGCCAGAGTGTCTGCCAGTTTGGGGTACTCTAGCCAAGCCTTGTTTATGCTGAGTCTATTCTGAGTTTTTGCATTTTGAGTTTTTGTCCTCTAGCCAAGCTGAGATCACATTGAGTTTAACCGAGCGCTTGTATCTACCTGAGTCTCAACTTTGTTTGTTCTTTGCCTTTCGACAGGAAGCCTTCCTGCAAACTGGACCTTTTCGGGCCGCCTTCTCCCAAGTGGGATCAACTGAGTCTTAGGCTGAGCGACGGATTCCAAACAGGAGGTTTGGATCCAGCCACCTTTGAGCACACTGAGATCACTCTCTGAGTAAGGAAGTCATCTTCACCACGACCCGTTCAAGTACCACAGGAAAACTGAGTTGCAACTAGCGGCTGCATCATTCCACTCCGTCTAAGTTCTGGGTAAACCCTGTTCCGCCCTCCACCGAATCAAACAAACTCTGGAAGACCAACACACAGACTGGAGTCTACGCGTCTCTTCTTCTTTGGAAACGTGAGTGGCAACAAATCCTCTCCTTCAAGATTAACAACTCCAATTCCCCTCTGAGCCTGAACCTAACAGCCTGTCTTCCCCTCGTCTTTCAGTTTTCCGGTCGAGCAGAGTTCGGAACTCTAAATACCTTTCAATAAAACCCGTTCAAACTTTTTACTCTGTGTCTCACTGTTGGGCTTCATTGCATGTGAGTCCGAGCTTTAGAAGAATCGTGACACAGACGGGGGTGGACTCAGGTTTCAGCTTTCAAAAACCTACAATGCAGCAACTGAGTTAATCCCTTCCCGCTGTCGTCGCAACCCCAACCTCTTTACAGGAGAACAGAACGCCTACACATGCACAGACGTAGTTTAACATACATGCGAGTATTTTTATTTTGCTCGTGGCCGTTTTGAAATAAATGTGACGCCATACTATCACCTAAAAAACTCAGAAGTTTACCTCTTTTTGGTCTTTCCAAATTGCTCTTAGTAGCTCTTAGTGAATGTATGATTGTATGATCTCCCCCCCCCACAAAGAAAAAAACTCGAACTGTGGAGAAATACACCATAAAGTAAAAGAGTAAGTCGTAGCAGCAGAATAGACTCATTACTGAGCAGCTCCCTCATCACAGTCACCCTGCAAGGTTTTATTACACAACACTCCCGTAATTAAAGTGTTCACCCGCACTGAAAGGAGAGAAAGAAGCAGCTCTCACCAAGCCTCTGAGGAAAAGTCTCCCTCTGGTGCCAGAGGAACGGTTCACTACAAAGTCAGCTGAAAGAAAGAACAAAAATGGAGGTTTATTTTGTTTTTAGATGCAGAACAGAAGCAATGACTTTATCAAACGTGGTGATGACTATAACTTTAATAAAACCAGCTGGAAGGGCCATTCATCTGATTGTAAAATGTGATTAGCAGTTTTTACCTGTGGAGGGAGACCTGGGCAAAGGTGAAGAAGAGAGGCTGGTAAACAATGCGGAACATTCGGGCGAGGCAGAACGGCCGGCTGCCGGCCATGCGGACGCCGCCTGGGACGGTCGGGACACAGAGGGATTCCAGGTTATCAGGCTGATAGCTGATAACATCAAAGATGCACTAATCGCTGTAATCCTACAAGTCTCTAGGGTAACAAGTCCCACAACAAAAGCAAAAGTAAGGAGGGAGGTGACCTGAGGCAAAACATACAAATAAACACTGAAGTTTAATGGTTTTGATGCTAGAGCTCTACCTGCTGGACTGAAAGCCAAAATTTGATGGTTTTATTTCTGGCTTATTTCGTTTTCAACGGTTAGAAAGTCTAAAGAAAAATGAAAATCCAGTGTTTCTTTGCACCAAAATGGCCTCATTTATTATTTGATCAGCCAAAAAGTTGGTATGAAAATATCATCTGCAAAGAATCAGACTCCAGGAGGTCTGTGTGTTCGATAAGCACCAGGACAAACTTACAGCCATTCAGAATCTCTCCACTTTCCTTGATGTTTCCTTGGCTGGTCCCCTACAGTTCCTTTTTAAACATCAATCTATGTACTAAATATATTCTCCCTGTCATGATTTGTGGACATTAAGATCTAAAGAGAAGGGTGGAGTCAGAGTAAAAAAATATGCATGCCCAGGAGAAGGCCAGGGGCTGGAAGTTGGAGGGGATTTTGCTGGGAGCTGCAGGGACGTGGGCTTCCGTTCGGCTGGCGTTTGACCAGGAACAGCCATTTTGATTGGCTGCTACTGTATGAGGTGAGCTCTACTGGCGTTAACACTACGTACATTAGCGAAAGGTGGGCGAGAGATTAGCAGTGAATCTACAACTCTTCAAGAAAAACCTCAAAACGGCCTTCAGAAAAGACGCGGGTCCGTTAACAGAAAGGTATGACGTACTCACTTTACTAACATGGATGTTTTTGGACCATGAGAGGAAGCAGGATTACAAGGAAAAATCACATGCAGAGAGAGATAATGTATTAAAAACAGACCCAAAGATGGGATTCAAACCTGGGACCTTAAAAGCTCTGAAGGGTCATGCTCCAACATGATGAAGCACTGCTTTGGTACATCAAGGAAGAGTATTTAAAGTAAAAAAGTACTTGGCAAAACCAAGTACTGAACAATTGCTGGATCATAGCATCTATTTTATTGTTTAAAATAACTTCAGACTGATGTTAAATAAAATCTGATATCTTCAATTCATTAACGCTAAATGTTATCAGCATTGGAATTTAAAACCAACTCAAATCTGTTAAATTAAAGTAAAATATTTTTGTTTTTAAGTACATTTAAGTCAAAACTTTGTATTAATCTGAATTATTTTAACATTAGTTAAACATAACTACCCAAAAAACTAATAAAGAACAACTTAAGCGTAATAAGGAAGCAGATTTTGACACTGTGATCCCATTGGCTGACTGGTTACCAGTGGGCGTGGCTAATTCTAGCTGTAACACCATAAGTGAGGCTGCTGTCGGATTTAATCGGAAAAGATAACGTGTCAACTTTTCAGTAAAAATATATTTTTAATACATGATGGAATAGATATAGTTTTAATGCTGATGGTATAAATTGTACATAAATAGGAGATAATGTTTGATGCAAAAAATATTCTAATAATAATTGCAAAATAAAACTGTTGATTTTACGTTATAAAAAAGCCTTTAAACACTAAAACTTTAAATAATGTCAACATTGTTTTTTTTTTTTTTTTTTTTTTTTTGGAGTAATGAGCTATTTTAATTCAAATTAAATCAAAAGAGAGAAGAAAAATAAATAAATAATTTCTAATAACTTGTGATTTTAAGTTGATCAAATTACAATTTTTAAGTAAACGAGTAAATTAATATTTATGTTGCAGTTATTTATTTGTGTTTACAGTGGTAACAGTTTTTTTATATGTTTATTTAAAAAACTTCTTTGGAAAAGTATTTTTTATGTCTAATTTTCTTAGTTTGTAATCATGCTATTTATCTGTATTTTTTTTTTTTATTGTACCAAAAGCAAGAATCAAAAAAATGACATGGCATTTTTTTTTTTTTTTTTTTTCAGTATAGTATGGGAAAAAAGTCAGAATTCTGACTTTAATCTCAGAATTCTGACTTTTTTTTATTGTCAGAATTCAGTCAGAATTCTGAGAAAAAAGTCAGAATTCTGAGATTATAGTCAGAATTCTGACTTTAATCTCAGAATTCTGACTTTTTTTATTGTCAGAATTCAGTCAGAATTCTGAGAAAAAAGTCAGAATTCTGACTATAATCTCAGAATTCTGACTTTTTTTATTGTCAGAATTCAGTCAGAATTCTGAGAAAAAAGTCAGAATTCTGAGATTAAAGTCAGAATTCTGACTTTAATCTCAGAATTCTGACTTTTTTTTATTGTCAGAATTCAGTCAGAATTCTGAGAAAAAAGTCAGAATTCTGAGATTAAAGTCAGAATTCTGACTTTGTTCTCAGAATTCTGACTTTTTTTATTGTCAGAATTCAGTCAGAATTCTGAGAAAAAAGTCAGAATTCTGAGATTATAGTCAGAATTCTGACTTTAATCTCAGAATTCTGACTTTTTTTTATTGTCAGAATTCAGTCAGAATTCTGAGAAAAAAGTCAGAATTCTGAGATTAAAGTCAGAATTCTGACTTTTTTCTCAGAATTCTGACTTTTTTTATTGTCAGAATTCAGTCAGAATTCTGAGAAAAAAGTCAGAATTCTGACTATAATCTCAGAATTCTGACTTTTTTCTCATGTTAAACTGAATTAAAATTTAAAAATCAGTTTACTTTTTTTTTTTCCAGTGGCCCTAATCCTCTTCCGTAATAATCTGATGTAATGAAATGAAAAAATTAGGAAGGATTCCACTTTCTGTTCCGTTTGAGCAGAAAGTGTCCAATCTGCCCCACAAAGCTCTCTGCTGCCCCCTGCTGCCTGTAACCGATGCTTGAACACATTAGATGTAGCTGCTGTGTGGCTTACAGATGGAGAGGTTTCCCAGCGAGTGTTTCCAGCTCTCAGTGGAGACAGAGACTGCGATCTGGGTACGTATGAGGGAGGCGAGGTGCAGGGTCTCTCTCTGACCATTGGGTCCTCTCTCCATCCACCAGCAACCTCAGGAGGGCCGGATCTAGATGTCCTGAAGAAACTCCTGCTCCTTCTAAACACGGCCCTCTGAAAATAAACAAATAAAAGTCTCAGAACATCAAAAATAACACAAACACAAATGAGAAATGGAAGGAAAATGATACATGGTCATTAAAATATTTTACTGCAACAAATAAGTAAAAAACATGCAGTAAGACAGTTTTCACAGCCCCTTTAATTTGATACCTTTAAAGCAGCATTATTACCTTCTACGTCTCACCAAAGAACCATGACTGTTGGCTCTGATCCTGCCGACATCTCACAAACATTTGCTTTACTTTTCATAATAACCCCATCTTTTCTAAGCTACAAATAACTCTCTATGACAGTTCAGAGAAAACACACCTTTTCATTACAGCTCTCGATACATTTAAAAACATAAAAAGCATTCTTACAAGTGGAGCAGTTGGGTAAACCGTGACCTCTGTATCCGCTGGGCATTCAGTGATGGCTGTCTTTGTGGAAAACTCCAGCCGAGGAGCAATACCCTGGAGAGGAGATGGTAAGTTTTAGTTATCAGGCTCCTCTCCTGTCGAAGCAACTACCATTTTTTGTCCATGAGGCAGACACCCCGTCTACTTCTAAAGCTAGGCTTAAAACTTTCCTTTTTGATACATTTTAGTTAGAGTGACTCAGGTTATCCTGATCTATCTCTATAGTTCTGCTGCTATAGGCTTAGACTGCTGGAGGACATAGGGACCCCTTTTTCCTCATTCTGCTTCATTCTATCTCTATTCTCCCACTCTGCAGAATCTATTAGTTCAATCTCTAACGTTCTGCTCTCTCTGCTTTTTCTCATAGTAGCTTCATCTGGTCTGTTCCTGTTTGGCTGTGACTCCATCCTGGAGAGAAATATCAGCTGTGCTGCTGCCATCAACACCTTTGTTTCTAGATGTTGGAGCTTGGCCTGTTTTCCAGTGTAGTCCTGTTTCTCTGACTGTGACTAACTGGATGTGCTCTCTTCATCCTCTGACATGGGAGCTGGCTCGGAGCTCGTCTACCTGGCTGTGTGTTTCCCGCCTGTGGAGGTGGTTAGAAGTTGCCTTTTGTATCTATGCTTCTTTTTCTATGTCTGCTTCTATCTCCTTGAACCCCAGTGGGCCTCAGCAGATGGCCGCTCACACTGAGCCTGGTTCTGCTGGAGGTGTCTTCCTGTTCAAAGGGAGTTTTTCCTCTCCACTGTCGCTACAAGCATGCTTAGTGTGAGGGATTGTTGAAGAGTCAATGAGTCGATGCAATCAGCTTTGAATCAATCTGACTGGATGATCTGGTAAACTGGAAAGTGCCTTGAGATGAGATAAATTGAATTGAATTAACATTTGCGAGGCTTTTCTTTACAGAAATGTACCTCCTGAATGTTCTAACCAAAATAACTGAATTGGTTTAAAAGGGATGTACTCACACGGAAGTGAGCAGCTCTCGTCATCAGAACCTCTCGACCCAATCCGGAGAACGGGGGAACAAGTTTGGGCTCTGGAAACAAGAAACTTCGAGCGTCTTCTTCATAGAAAGCCAGGGTGTCTCCAGCTACAAAACGACCACAGTCGTAGAAAGGAGAAACATCCGCTTTGAGTCAACAGCAGACCTTTGGGTTTCATTAGAACCAAGCCTTTTATTTTTCCTGCCAAGTTCTTGTCATGCTATGTCAGTCATTTTCCTGACTGAAACATTTCAGACGGCACCTTGGGTTTGAAAACTTTAATGATAAATACTCCTTTTTTAAGAAAAGACATTAAAAACAAGTATCTCCAGGCTTGTTTGTCCGGTTTGGACCAACATCATTCCAACTGAATCCTTATTTCTATGATTTTCCTGGTTGTAGAAATGACACTGCCAAGAAGCTGCATTTGTTTATAACCAAAGGTTGAACAGTATATAAATCCTGCAGGACATTATGGCACTGTAGGGAACTAGTTCGAATTTTACCACAGACGTGAACAGCCTTCAATTTCACAGCCATAAATTAGAGTCTATGGTCACTTTTACACTTGATTGATTGATTGACTGATTGATTGATTGATTGATTGATTGATTGATTGACTGATTGATTGATTGATTGATTGATTGATTGATTGATTGATTGATTGATTGACTGATTGATTGATTGATTGATTGATTGATTGATTGATTGATTGATTGATTGACTGATTGATTGATTGATTGATTGATTGATTGATTGATTGATTGATTGATTGATTGATTGATTGATTGATTGATTGATTGATTGATTGATTGAAATAGGAAGATTATCTAAACTGAACTTGAGATAAGATGTTAGAGATATTCTTTTCTTCTTTTAAGTGCAAAAATACTAATTTCACAAGCAAATACTTCCGCTAACCCATGCAAATTAGGTGCTAAAACTTTTTTTTTTAGAATATTACACTCACCGGCCACTTTATTAGGTACACCTGTCCAACTGCTCGTTAACACTTAATTTATAAGCAGCCAATCACATGGCGGCATGTAGACATGGTCAAGACAATCTCCTGCAGTTCAAAGCGAGCATCAGTATGGGGAAGAAAGGTGATTTGAGTGACTTTGAACGTGGCATGATTGTTGGTGCCAGAAGGGCTGGTCTGAGTATTTCAGAAACTGCTGATCTACTGGGATTTTCACGCACAACCATCTCTAGGGTTTAAAGAGAATGGTCCGAAAAAGAAAAAACATCCAGTGAGCGGCAGTTCTGTGGGCGGAAATGCCTTGTTGATGCCAGAGGTCAGAGGAGAATGGCCAGACTGGTTGGAGCTGATAGAAGGGCAACAGTGACTCAAATAACCACCCGTTACAACCAAGGTGGGCAGAAGAGCATCTCTGAACGCACAGTACGTCGAACTTTGAGGCAGATGGGCTATAGCAGCAGAAGACCACACCGGGTGCCACTCCTTTCAGCTAAGAACAGGAAACTGAGGCTACAATTTGCACAAGCTCATGGAAATTGGACAACAGAAGATTGGAAAAACGTCGCCTGGTCTGATGAGTCTCGATTTCTGCTGCGACATTCGGATGGTAGGGTCAGAATTTGGCGTCTACAACATGAAAGCATGGATCCATCCTGCCTTGTATCAACGGTTCAGGCTGGTGGTGGTGGTGTCATGGTGTGGGGAATATTTTCTTGGCACTCTTTGGGCCCCTTGGTACCAATTGAGCATCGTTGCAACGCCACAGCCTACCTGAGTATTGTTGCTGACCATGTCCATCCCTTTATGACCACAATGTACCCAACTTCTGATGACTACTTTCAGCAGGATAATGCGCCATGTCATAAAGCTGGAATCATCTCAGACTGGTTTCTTGAACATGACAATGAGTTCACTGTACTCAAATGGCCTCCACAGTCACCAGATCTCAATCCAATAGAGCATCTTTGGGATGTGGTGGAACGGGAGATTCGCATCATGGATGTGCAGCCGACAAATCTGCGGCAACTGTGTGATGCCATCATGTCAATATGGACCAAACTCCCTGAGGAATGCTTCCAGCATCTTGTTGAATCTATGCCACCAAGAATTGAGGCAGTTCTGAAGGCAAAAGGGGGTCCAACCCGTTACCAGCATGGGGTACCTAATAAAGTGGCCGGTGAGTGTACATTTTGTCACTTTTTATAGTGTTTGTTCTAAACATAAATATAACCTTTACAGACATCTGGAGGGAAACCAGATCAAACAAACCAAAAGTATGAATACTAAGTGAGATGTATGGATCAATTTAACTGGAGGGAGAAAAAAAGCAGATATCGTCTAAAGTCTGCATCATGTAGACTGTTTCTTACCTGGAGGAATCAGCTGCACCAGTTCTATCCTGACAGTTTCATCTGCAGAAGAGACCATAAATACACAATCAGGCCATCTAAAGGATCGTTAGGCACATTTTTCTGTATGAGCAGTAAAATGGTTCACAAGATATTGATATTAATTTGATGTTTTTGTTGTGTGCATCATTGGCAAAGAAGATTTTATAAAAGGAAAAGTCCGGTCGGCAAGGAATGATCAATGGATCATTATCTAAACTAATACATTTGCAGTGATTTAATGAATTTAGCGTTGATCAGTAAAAAAATTAAACACAAAATTTTTTGTTGCGATCACTGATTCTGGGAGCAACCATTTTTGCCCAAATATATTAACCCCTCCCTCCTGCCATCTTCCAGCAGTGACGTCACGGTGCGGTAAGCCTAGCGCCATTCTCCCCGCTTTACAAGCTAAATCAATGGGAACTACTAGACACATCTGCAATCAACAACAATTAGGGATGCACGATATAATCGGCCCCCTATCGGTATCGGCCTTAAAACTGAATATCGGACATCGGCCACCCCACCGATATTTAACCCGATATTTGATCAGCTTCTGAGTTTCTAAAGTCTAAAAAAAAAAAAAAAATACTACTTCTTCTTCTTCCTCAAAATCTTATTTTTTACAGACTTAAAAACTTCTAAAGACGAGGGAAAAAATATTGATCCATTAAAATATCCCAATATCTTCACATGCTGATATATTGCCATTTAAAAACACCATATCAATCTCTTTTACTAATGAAATATTGCTATATGTCATCGTTATGCTACGAAATCCCCCGAAAATTCACGGAATGTTGCCATATTTTTATATGTTGATATATTGACGCGGTATCGATCTATTTTACTAACAAAACCTGACAAGAATTTGCAAAAAATATCACGAGAGTTTGTAACAGAACGATGAAATTTCACCAGATTTTGAAAGTAAAATAGATCGATACCGTGTTTTTAAAAATCAATTTGATATCAGCATATGAAAATATATTAGAGTATATTATTTTTCAAAATGTCAGAAATGGAGAACAAAACTGCTATTTTCAATGACTACTTATTTTTGTCCAGCTTTAACATCGGTATCGATATCGGTTATCGGGTACATGAGTTCTAAAATATCGGCATATCGGATATCGGCCAAAATCCCAATATCGGCATCCCTAACAACAATTATTGAAGATTTCCAGAGGACTTCACCATTGAAATTCTACAGAGCTATAGTGAAACTGACAATGCCCACGTGCATGGCAGCTGGATGCTGGAATACATCGGGTAAAAGTGAAAAAAAAAGAGTTATTCCACCTTTCTGATTCCTGATCCTCCACGGACGGGTTGGTCGTTGGATCGCCAACTTGAAGAGGGAGGATTTTCCATCGAACTTCTGGCCAGAGAAAAAACACGTAATATGTAGCCAACATTTGGAAGAAGAATGTTTTCTAGATGACTTGGATAATAGCGCGTTGTGACAAACACCAGATACAGCACTGGGACTTGATCAACAGCCGATACCGCACCGTGACGTCACAAACCAGTAGGTGGCAGTAGTGTTCTTTGACAAACATGGATGCCTCCAGTAAAGCACATTCAAATGGAAATTACTCTGAATTAAAAACACTGATCATTTATTGAACAGTTTGCAATTTCATATTCAAAGAACTTTCAGAAGTTAGAATTTTGAATATGAGTGGACTTTTCCTCTAAATCATTCTAAAAAAAAAAGGAAAACTTCCACTAATACAGCTGTGCAATATGTTAAATTTAGCTTTTATTCAGAAACAAGAGGAAAAGGAGTCCCCTACTCTCGAGCAGCAGAGCGATGTCTTTTGGATCAGCTGCATGCCTGAAGATCTGAGAGGAAAACAATGATTGCACCTCTTCAATCATCTAAACACAGAAACAACTTCATGTTTTGTAAGTCATGCAACTTTTTCTTCATGGTCTATGTGTATATCTGCCTTTTCAAACGTCATCTTCTGGTGGAACAGCAGAGGAAAGACGGCAGGAAGACTCTCGGACTGATGGAGCTGATCCATGAAGAACATGCTGAGGAAAATGTCATTTTTGGCTGACAGACGAACTCCGGGACAAGAAACCTGAGAACATCGGAGAAAAAAACGTCAACACAGTCAGGAGGATCAAAGTCACATGATGAATGATTTATTATGCTCCTGGCTACCAGCAGAGGGTGCTAACACTTTGCCAGAAAATGTAATAATTTTAAATTCATTTTGGTTTATTTATATAGCACCAATTCACAGCACGTCATCTGAAGGCAGACAATCGAGTCCGACGATCCGATCAGATTGGTTGTTTTCGCTCCTCCTGGGCGACAGTAGACATTTGCTTCGACTGCGTCTTTGACTTTACAGCAATCCCTCGTACCGAACAAGCATGCAGCGACAGTAGGGAAGAAAAACTACTTGGGTAGAAACCTCCAGCAGAACCAGGCTTAGCTGGAGTGGCCTTCTGCCAAGGCTGGGGTTGACTGGGGTTTACAAAGACAAAAGCAGATGTCTAAAAGTACTGATCTATAAACACCTCTGTGTTTAAAAATGTGAAGATAAAGGCCCCGTCTACACGAAGTCAAAACGAACACGAAAGGCTAATATTTTCCAGAACGTTTGTCGCAAAGAAGGAGACGTAAAATAAATGTGATCGTCCACACGAATGCATGAAAACGCTGCAAAATGTATGCCAGGCCTGTAAGTGGCGCTGTGGTGCCAAAGCAAAAATAGGCGACGAAATGTTGGGCATGCCCACTAATATTTATACATGGTTGCCCTGCGGGTCCATTTTCGTGGTTCAGTCAAATTCAGAATTCAGGTGCTGAACTATGTCGTCGATATTGCTCTGTTCTTCCTGGAGATATTCCAGAAGAAGAAGATTGCCATTGTTGTTGTGATACTGTGTCGCGCATGCGTGTTTAGAGGCGACGCTATGACGCATGCGTGTAAGAAAAAAAATGTTAGAGCTTAAAGATGGAAACACGAAAACAGTGTTTCAAAATCTTCACACTCTGAAGGCTTAATAAAAAAAAGATCGTTTACAGACCCCCGAAACGCCGGCTTCGTATGGATGAGAGGCTGGTTTGGTGAAAAATTTGTGCGTTTAGGCCAGGGTTTGACTTCGTGTGGACGGGGCCAAAGTAGCTCCATTTAGGAAGGAAACGGTTAAGAGGTTAAAGTCGTAGGGAAGCGGCTGTTCCAACCGTTACGTTTCCGAATTCTTCCGAGTGGTGCCCGACTTTACACGACTGAACAAAGTGAATGTGATTGGTCAATTATGAAGGGGGCGGGATTGTTGTGGCCAGTGTCTCGGAAGCATCTTGCTAACCACTTAGCAACTTAGTGCTAGCAGGTTCCCAATGGGAAATTCCATTGGGACCAAGTAGCACTAAATTGGTGACTTAGAAACGACGCTGTCAAGGAACGCTATGGACAGAGGAAACATGCAAGAGGAGGAGAGTTTAGTGTCGGAGGTCGTGGATGAGTCTCCTCCGTCATCCATTTTTTATTTAGATGAGGAAAGCGGGGACGAAGATGTTATGGAAGAGGACGCCAGGGCGGCAGAAGCTTGGTTTGGTGTAGAAGGCTTCCAGCCGTACATGTTTGAGCCCTTGCCTCGCAACACTGCCAGTTCTGTTAATAATGATAATACAGTGGAATTCGCTTATAGTGCTCACAGATATAGTAAACATGTGCAAAAATAATTAATAAGTGGATCGAAAGTGATGACAGCACTCCGGTGTCAGAGCCTGTGACGGATGAGGTATAAGAGCGCTTTGATGCGGGTGACAGTGCTGCGCGCAGCGAGGAGGGGGGGGGGATGGAGAAGAGGAGACTTTTGTCTCTTCCAGACCGGACATGAGGAATGCAGTTTGCATTTTAAAGACTGGTCTCCTGCATGTTGGTTTCAAAAAATTTGACCCTTTTACATCATTTTGAAAAAGCAGTGAACTCTGTGTTGGACAACACTCTGATCCAGGGAACCATGGATAAATATGTGAAGTGATTTCTTAATGCGGTGCAGCAGATCCGCAACACAAAACAGCAGAGGCTAGCTTTAATTTTCTGTAACCTGGAGTTATCTTCTATGTTGTTCTATGAAACCATTTGTTTGTTAAAAAAATGCACCGGCTGCACCAGGCTACCAGAGTTATGTCTGCGCACAGCGCAGTATACTGTAATTAAAGTTGAGTGATACTGTAATAAAAAAAAATGAAAAACCACAAAACTGGCATTTTGATGATATTCTGCATAAAAAATAAGTGAAATAACGGTATATTCTGCTATAGTAATCAACCGCTTATAGTGTTCAAATGGCTCTGGACCAACATGATCACTGTAAGCTAATTCCACTGTACTAAAGATCGACAAAGTAGAAAAAAAATTATTTATTTATTTTTATTAAATGTTTTAAAATTTCAATTCTGGCCACCATTTTCATCAAATTCCCATTACCAAAACATGCTTTTCGCTTGCAACAATAATGGATCAAAAGTGACTCCATACCATCAGAGGCTTCTCCAGAGCCTGTGTGACACTGACCCCTACAGGAGAGCTTAGCTCACTGCAACCATCAGCTACAACATCTTAATGAAAGCAGAGCAACACCAGGAACAGCTACATTTATCTCCTATTTTAGACTTTAAATATTTTTTAATCAAGTTAAACCATTAATCTGGAGTAAAAATTAAAAAAAAGGCCTAACTGTTTTTTCTTTCACACCTTTTCGGCTTCATGGTTGATTAATTCACTTTGATGTCTTAAAAGTTCTGAATGATTTCTGAACCCAATAAAGACACCTTTCTTTTATAACAAAATGAGCGGAATAATTTGAAGGTGAATATAAAATCAAAAATATTTCCAGCGGGTGGCAGGAGAACCGAACCCAGGTAGGTACCGTCCGAACTCCCGAACCGAGCCAGAAGCACCGAGACCCGGCCGCTTCTTACCGCTCCGAGTTTGACTTCAGTCCAGACTTTCAGCGCTTTCTGGGACATTCGAGTCTTCTTTTAAAAATGCGAAATGACACGGAAACCAGCAGCTTCTTGTCCTTGTTACCTGGTTACCATGGTTACCGGCATTTCCGGTTTGGCTTTTTGAACGAGTTAATTTCTGCAAATATGTTTGAAAGATTCTTAGATTCTATCTATCCGAAGCTAAGAGATTCATTTAAAAATGTTTAAATAGAGGAACATAATATATATATAGATAGATAGATAGATAGATAGATAGATAGATAGATAGATAGATAGATAGATAGATAGATAGATAGATAGATAGATAGATAGATAGATAGATAGATAGATAGATAGATAGATAGATAGATAGATAGATAGATATATATATATAATGGGATCATAACACTATTTCGAGGATGTATAAAAAATTAGAAATACCCATTACAGAAGTTGAAGTACTTATATTCTACGACGGAGTTGAAGGGCCAGGATAGAGATTTTATAATTTGTTTATCACAAGAATAAACTCATCATACAACAACCCGTTTCAGAAAGAAAGCTTGGAGCTCCGCCCAGCAGATGACGTCCGACCAGCTCCACCAATCAGCAACCAGAGTCCACTTTGACCTCCTGCCCAGTTTGATGCTACTGCTAAAAGATTTCCTGATTCCCAAGTATAACTTCACATGATAATCCACATCCTATCTGATATACGATTGTATTTTACGACTTTATTCTCGTAATTTTACGAATTTATTCTCATTTTTATTCCTGTTGCGACTTTATTCTCGTAATGTTACTTTATTCTCATAATTTTACGACTTTATTCCTGTTGCGACTTTACTCTCATGTTACTTTATTCTCGTAATTTTACGACTTTATTCTCGTAATGTTACTTTATTCTCGTAATGTTACTTTATTCTCATAATGTTACTTTATTCTCATAATTTTACGACTTTATTCCTGTTGCGAATTTATTCTCGTAATGTTACTTTATTCTCGTAATGTTACTTTATTCTCGTAATGTTACTTTATTCTCATAATTTTACGACTTTATTCCTGTTGCGACTTTATTCTCGCAATGTTACTTTATTCTCGTAATGTTACTTTCTCATAATTTTACGACTTTATTCCTGTTGCGCCTTTATTCTCGTAATGTTACTTTGTTCTCGTAATGTTACTTTGTTCTCATAATTTTACTTTATTCTCGTTGTGACATTCTTCTCATAATTTTATGAATTTATTTGCATCATTTTATGACTTCATTGTCGTAATTTTACTTTATTCTCAGAATTTTACGACTTTATTCTCGTAATTTTACTTTATTCCTGAAATTTGATGACTTTACTTGCATAGTGTTATGACTTTTCTCGTAATATAACGCCTTTTTTCTCATTATTTTATGACTACTCTCGTAATTTTATGACTTTATTCTCGTAATATTGCGACTTTATTCTTGTAATTTTATTATTTTACTCCCGTAAAGTTACGAAATTATTCTCCAAATAGAAGAAAAAAATCTCTAGCCGAACATATTCCGTCACAAATATTTGTTGTAAGTATGGCAAACAAAACAAAAATATATATATTCTTAACTGTAAAGTTGCCTAAACTCATTATATGGTATTTTTTATTGATTTGGTCTTAAGAGCTCGTTGAAAAAAAAAAAAAAAAAAAAAAAAGGGGGCTTTGAGAAGTTTGATTTTAATGTCACTTTTCTCTTGCTTAGTCCTTGTCAGGATGATTTAAATGTTTTATTTTTTTACATATACACCTTTAAATCCTTATATTCATAATGTTCATACATATTTTGTATAAATAAAAAAGTTCCAACTCTGTTGAAAAGTACACATGCCAGTAAGATGTGTATATGTTCAATAACTTTTTTTTTTACTTTTATCTTATTATTTCTTTTATTTATCATTATTTGTATTTTTATTCCTGGTTTTGTTTTTGAAAAACTGAAAGAAAAAAAAAATGTAATCACATGTAGCTCTAATTTTTATACCTATATCTGTTTAGTTATTTTTTTAATCGTATCTGAAATACATTATTTTACAGTAATTTTACCACGTAGCACTACAGCAATGTCTGTTAAACAAATATCCATATAATATGATATATACGAGGGTCAAAACTGTAGCCATGACTAAATAAAAAAAATAAAATACCAAAACAGTCTCACTTGTAGTGAAGCAGATTTATAATCCAATCCTTTGAGATTTAAAGCTTAAACCAGCAAACAGGTATGCAGTTTATTATTATTCAGGCTTTACGCATTTTTTCATCTTCTTCAAATCATTTAGGCACAAATCCGACTTTTTAGTCCAAAGAGCAACGATGGTAAAGAAAATGAGCCTGAAGAACAAAAATAAAAACTTCATTCCTTCCATAACCTGCAGCAAAATTAAACATTTCAATAAATATCCAGTAAAACAAAACGTCTGAAAACGAGAAACAAAAACAGATGTTGGAACTCTGCGGGGAGGCGCCATTTAGTCCCACATGTTTAGTCTCTGATTTCTGTTTGCTCTGCAGCGTCCGAGTCCGAAGTGGAGCCTTCCTCCTCCTCCTCCTCGTTGTTTTCCTGAGGGGCGCCTCCATCCTGGCTGACGGCCACGGCTCCTTTTCTCTGAGGGAGGATGGAGAAGAAGGCCTCCTGCCAGCCGCCCTTCTCAAGATACGCCAGGATGATCTCAAAAACTGTAGAAACGAGAACGTCCGTAAAAAACAAACCCGGATCCTTTGGACTCCAGACACCCGGAAAAGTTCACTTCCAGTCAAATTCTTATTTCTGAGGGAGTCAAAATCGCTTCAATGTGTTCATTTCTTTAAATGTACTTAGTGGAAATAATAAAATATTTTTTATCACATTGACTCCTTAAAGATCAACTAGAAAACACTTACAGTTATAAATTTGATAATATGTACAAAAAAATACATCACAAGTGAAAAAATGTCCAACATTTTTGTTGTTTATAGCATAAAATAATTCACTAAGATAACAGACGACCCAAAATTCCTCATTTGGTCACGTGACCCACTGAGGGATGCCGTGACGTCACTTTAGTCAGGAAGTAGTCATTTTACACAGCGAGTCAATATTAAAGGGAAGATTAGACTTCCTGCACACATCAAATGTCGCTTGGGTCTGCTGGATGCTTCTGCACCGTCGATCTGGAATTTCTAGGGACAGCAGTTTCCCGCCAAAGCACTAGGGGGAGCCGATTAAAGAACTTGTGAGAACTTAAGCAGATGGTCACAAGAACTTTGGCGGCGCTGGCGGGAGTTTTTATCTTTCAAAACAACAATGGTGCATCTCCAAGACATCAGGGTCATGGAGATCTAGAGTTGCTAGACATCGAAGAGGAACAGGTTCTGTTTATGGAGTTCGCAAAAAGACCGATTAACCTTTCGTCGTAGTTGTCCGTTGTAGTTGTTCCGCGGGTTTTAAAAATGGCGCGCCTTGAATCTAGAAGGACGACCACACAGACAGCCGGAAAGGCATACAAAGGACCAATCACAGCTGCTTTTTGTCTGCGCTAATCCGCTTGAGGTCTTCGCGGGTTTGCGATGGTCCGACGCAAACCCTCGTCGGACACGATTTGACGGTGGCAGAAGCTATGCATCAGAAACATAAATTTGCCTTTATTTACCTTTGTGACAGAGTGTTTATCCTTTAAGCCCAGAGGTTCTTAGGAGCAAATCTGCCTGAAATTACACGTGAATTAAAGCAAGTCCAGCTTAGCCTCGTGGGACCATCCTGATCTCGCGAGCTTTCAAGATTTCACTCGCTAATCAGTCTGGAGACTCTCCGTTAAAGAAAATTTGGAGCCGTTCACCAAACGAACGTCCAATCAGCGTTGGCTTTGAGGCGGGTTGAGGTGTGACGCAACGAGAAGCGCAACAGTTCAGTCTAAAGAACATGGCGGCTTCAGCCAATGAAACTAACGTTAGCGTGGCTATCGAGCAAGTTTTATCGGAATTACAGAGTATTTCTTCACTGAAAGAAGAGCAAAACACTGCTCTGGAGGCTTTTCTCAGAGGAAAAGATGTGTTTGCTCTTCTCCCGACTGGTTTCGGCAAGAGTAGCCTGGCTTGTGGTTGTGTTTTCGTCGTCGCTCTGTTAGTACGTCATATGCTTCGTTGATCTGATTGGTTTATTTGGCCCGTCTATCACCAACATAGGCCAATCAGCTAACCAGTATTTTCGCCCCTTCCCAAAATTACTTCAACGGAAGGTTTCCAGATGGATATGCGGAGCAAATCCATCTGGTGGAGTCAGGTTAAGTCCAGCTCCCAAACTATAAATGTGAAACACAATTGTTTGCATTTGTTTGACAGAAAAAAATCGAGGAATATTTTAAATGTCACCAGGTCTGATTTATAGGTGATTAAACAAAGAGTCTTGCAAAGATTTTTTTTTCCTAATAAACTCAGCAAAACACCATGAAAGCCCATTTGAAACTCTGGATGAACCCTCAGACTTTATAGATCCACATCTTGACTATAAGTCAAGCAAATTTGAACTGAAGTTGAAGCATGTTTGTTCCACAAAGGTTTTAGTGGGCAGTGTGCTAGGAGGAAATGTGCGCCAAATGTGGCCAAATTATGTAAAAATGCATTTTTTCCACTCATAAAAGGGAATCTGGTCAGACTTATATTAATGGAGACCTTCTGCATAAGGCAAAGCCTTTGCTCCTACGATTTAGTCGTTGTTTCATTGAAATTTACCAATAATATCAACCAACTCAATATAATACAAGAACAACAGAGCAAGCTTATGTAACACATGTCAATTGCATCACCTGAAATAGTTGCACAATGACCTCTGACCCCTCCTTGGAAAGGTCGGAGCCTCTAGTTTCCAATGATGGTTTCAATTAAGGGGCGGGGCTAAAAATGAATACCTGCATTGCATTAGGTGCAGTCAGGTAGAATTTCAAATCCCATTTTATTTGTTTACACAGGTATAAAAAAAAACGTAGTTAAGAAAAAATAATTTTGAAACATCTTTTAGAAAATTTAAAGCCCCATTTTGAAAGGCATGTGGATGAAACACCATGTGACTGTGTTTTGGCCATTTCTATAAATAGATAAACAGCTGCTATCAGATGGCACCGCTACCAGGCCCGCCAGGCTCAAGGAGATGATAAAAAGTTCAAGATTCTGTGTTGAAAATGTAGTAAAATGAAACGTTTCATTTAAAGTTGTAGAGAAACCATATTTAAATGTCAAATTATTCTGGCCTAAATATGTATATAAACGTTCTCTTTATCAGACGATATTGTCCCAAAATTTAGAAAATTTCTATTTTTAAAAAATTCCTGTGTTTTTTTTGGTTATCTTCTGCAGGCCAGTTAGTTCTACATCAGCCTGAACACCTAAATTCATCCAATCATATATCAACGGTCATCTGTCAATCAATTGTTTTCGGTCATAGCATCTTGATTCATATGTCGCAGCCAGTGTTGGGCAAGCTACTTGTCCAGTGTAGTGAGCTAAGCTATCAGCTACTCAACAATAAATTAAGCTTCACTACACAACAGCTACCACCTAAAGAATTATAGCAAGCTAAGTTACACTAATGTGTTCAAAGTAGCTTAACTACATCAGAAGCTACTTAACGTTGTACCAACCTAATGTCAATTCAAAATGAGTCTGACACACTAGTTAAAATATTTATTAAAGATCAGCCAATGACATATCACAGTGTAAACATTGCTTTATGATCAGCATATTAAAATAAATACTAAAGTAATTACTAGTAGACAAACTAGTAAACAATCTGCTGTTATTAGAACCAAATTAAAGGTACTGTGTAATGTTCTACACATCGAGACATGGCTATGAGTTTGCATTCAATGGACATCTCTAGGGAAAACAAAACCCTACAAAAGACCTCAATTAAAGAGTTGATTCAAGTAACAAACAAAACTGTTTACAAAAGAAGGTGAAAAAATAAAGAAGCTAATTAAGAGATACATATATATATGTCTCACCATTTAATTTAATTTCTACCTACATATTTATTCATTGTATTTTTGGAGGCAATTAATTGAATGCTTATTTATTTATGTATTTATTTTATATACGGTAGAGCTGTTCCTCCATAAATAAAAACATCTTGTCTGTGCAAAGCCTAAAAACAGATTTATGTACACATCCTGTCAGGTAAACTAGGCCATGAAAACACAATATGGAAGTTTCACTACTGCTCTCTAATTTGAGTATCTTAGTGGCACATAGATATGGGAGAATTATCCTGCCATAATGCAAGAGCACATCATTTCAATTTGAGAAAAGAATTTCATCTTCTTGCTCTCAAAACTTATAATGCTCACACTCAAAACATGCGCTCTCTCTCAAATATTTTCTCTTCTCTCTTTGTTTCTTCTCTCAGATTTAATGCTTCTTGCACAGATATTTTCTCCTCTCGCTTGCCTCCTTTTCTTCGCGCACAAACCGCGCTCTGTTACGCTCGCAAACCCGAAGGCTCTGCTTGCGGATTTGTTTTGCTCTCTCAGACTGCAGTTGGATCGTTGCCTAGCAACCTTTCCAGCCAATAGAACGACAGCCTCGGAAAGGGTGCGCTTGTTTAACTCTACTGAGTGTGCCTCCGCTACTACGCCACTTATAAGAGCGTCAGCTGAAACTGCTATTTACAGTAGCTTGTGGCTGATTGTTGTTTCAAAATAGAAAACCTGGTTTCATTTCTAAGTTTTGCCCTGGATTTTGTAGCGTTTGTGGACGCTGCGTCGCTACTTGATCAAAACAATAACGTCGCTACAGGAAAGTTTTTTGATAAATAAAGCAGCGACGCTACGGTGAAGCTACTGGAAAATGTAGTTAAACTAATAGCTTCGCTACATGTAGCGGCGCTACTGCCCATCACTGGTCGCAGCTAATATACGCAACGGTTGAAATCAGAATCCTTTCCTTTCCCACTGAGTTGCGTCCCAGTGTTCACGGGGATGGACGTCTGTGTCTTCGGCAGGCGTAGAGCTAACAGAACTGGCAGCGTTGCGAGGCAAGGGCTCAAACATGTACGGCTGGAAGCCTTCTACACCAAACCAAGCTTCTGCCGCCCTGGCGTCCTCTTCCACAACATCTTCGTCCCCGCTTTCCTCCTCTAAATAAAAAATGGATGACGGAGGAGACTCATCCACGACCTCCGACACTAAACTCTCCTCCTCTTACATGTTTCTGCTGTCCATAGCGTTCCTTGACAGCGTCGTTTCTAAGTCACCAATTTAGTGCTACTTGGTCCCAATGGAATTTCCCATTGGGAACCTGCTAGCACTAAGTTGCTAACTGGTTAGCAAGATGCTACCGAGAAACCGGCCACAACCAAACATGCTTGTGAATCTTCCACCACAACAATCCAGCCCCCTTAATAAACGACCAATCACATTCACTTTATTCACTCGTGTAAAGTTGTGCACCACTCTGCATTTCTCACCGTGGTTTATAGCCAGAACCTTCCGGCTGTTCATCCTGACAAAGCTGCTGAGAGGAAGTTGCGCGTGTTCGATCCCAAGCTCCTTGGCCCGCTCGTAAGTGATGCCCTGAAACACAAATCAAAGCTGCGTCCAACAGAGCAGACTTTATTCTTGTGACTTTATTATAAGAATAAAGTCACAAGAATAAAGTCGTAACACTACGAGAATAAAGTAACATTATGAGAATAAAGTCGTAAAATTACGAGAATAAAGTCACAAGAATAAAGTCGTAACACTACGAGAATAAAGTAACATTACGAGAATAAAGTCGTAAAATTACGAGAATAAAGTCACAAGAATAAAGTCGTAACACTACGAGAATAAAGTAAGATTACGAGAATAAAGTCGTAAAATTACGAGAAAAAAGTCACAAGTACAAAGTCGTAACACTACGAGAATAAAGTCGTAAAATTACGAGAATAAAGTAACATTACGAGAATAAAGTCGTAAAATTACGAGAATAAAGTCACAAGAATAAAGTCGTAACACTACGAGAATAAAGTAACATTACAAGAATAAAGTCGTAAAATTACGAGAATAAAGTCACAAGAATAAAGTCGTAACACTACGAGAATAAAGTAACATTACGAGAATAAAGTCGTAAAATTACAAGAATAAAGTCACAAGAATAAAGTCGTAACACTACGAGAATAAAGTAAGATTACGAGAATAAAGTCGTAAAATTACGAGAAAAAAGTCACAAGTACAAAGTCGTAACACTACGAGAATAAAGTCGTAAAATTGCGAGAATAAAGTAACATTACGAGAATAAAGTCGTAAGATTACGAGAATAAGTTCGTAAAATTACGAGAATAAAGCCGATGTGCTGGCGGCGGCAGCAGGAGGCGGGGCGCACCTTGTGGTGGTTGTGATCCACCAGGCCTCCGATCACGTAGGCCTTGCTTTGGTCCAGCTCCTCCAGCACGTTGGGGGAGTCAGAGGTCAGGTACACCAGCTCACCTTTAGCCACCACTTCGCTGTAGTGTTCCGCTTTAAACGTAATGCCCTGAACCGCAGGTAGAACAGACACACAGGGAGGAAGAGATTCTGTCACCAAAACTAGACAGACTATAAAAAAGTTGAATTGCTCTAAAATTTGGTCTGAAATAAACTTTTTTTTTTTTTTATCGAGATGCCGCAGCAACTAGAGGGGGAGGGGTCAGCTGCTGTGTGTGTTAGTGGAGTAAAGACCCGATATGGAGTGAAATTTGTTCCATTATTGTTTCAAGTGAAAAAACATATTTTAGAAATGGAAATAATTTTTAAAAAATGCAATATATAAATAAAATAGTTACTTTGTTGTTTTCTTAGATTTTAATTTTCAAATTCTTTTTTTTTTAAAGATATTTGATTGATTTCATTTCGTGTTTTACAGATCCCAGTCCCTTGACCTTTATCCAAAAACAAAAACGGAACTCCTGATCAATGACAATGCTATTGCTAACGTCCAGCGAACCAATAGAAATACGTCTCTGAAGGAAAGCCCCGCCCCCAGAAGGGAAGAGAATGTGATCTGGAAAACACAATTTGAAAAGAAGGCAAGTATGAAAAAGAGAGATTTCAAAAAATAACATTTGAAATGAAAATATAAAACTATAAAAGTAATTGCTTGCATTTTTTTTTTCTTTAGCCATATACAAAACATGTTCTTCACTTAAAAAAAATAATGAAACAAAATTAACTCCATAATTTTAAGCCCTAAAAAGCCAAACTGGCCCCATGGTTTGCACAACACAGTAAAGTAGTTAGGTCTCTATTTCTGGTGGTAGGGTAAAAGGAGACACTTCAACGTTTTTTTGTTTTCTTCATATCGAAAATAAAAGCTGTGCTATCACCATGGCAACAGCAGGTCTTAAGGCGTATTAAAGACTTTGCATTTCAAGAAATGCCGTTGGCTGATCAATTGGAACTGTTCTAATATTTTATCTTCAGCTTATTTCTGGTTCATTAAAATTGTTTAAATATCGAAGAGAAGAAAACTTAAACATAGAACGGACCGGTAAATGCATTTTAAATCTTAAAAAAATAAATAAATAAATAAATTTAAAAAAAAGCCACGCATTCAGATCAAGTAAAGAACACCAGTTCCTGCTCCCTCTATCTGCTATCCATTGTCAATGTCTTGCTTGATTAGACAAAAACGGAACCAGCAGAACATTTACGACTATGAACGGTAGTTGGGAGATACCAAGTTGTGATGAGAGTCCTGAGGTATTTAAGAAGGACTTATATATAAAACGAAATTGATAATTGAAGCATTAAATGAATGAATGCAACAGTTGATTATTTATCTATTACGTGCTTCAGATATGAAACATGTACAACAAACTCTAAAATGCACTTAGACAATTAAATGTCCTATCAAACAATAAAAAAATACAACAAACTGAATGTTATTTGGGAAAAAATAAGATTAATTTAAACACATTTAAAGAAGTCATCATCAAACTTTTTTTTCTTTAAACCTCCCTTCAGGATGGTGACACAGCTACACAGAACCAAACCAGATGAAGCTAATATGACAAGCATAAACAGTTAGAAAGACATAAGTTAAGAAATTAAATTAACCAAAAACTTAAAATTGGAAACTAAAAATTTAATGAAACAGAGTGATTGAGAGATGCCTTGAGAGTTTTTCCTCTCCACTGTCGCTACAAGCATGCTCAGTGTGAGGAATTGCTGAAGAGTCAATGAGTCGATGCAATCAGCTGGTTTTTTTCTCAGATAAAAAAAACTTTGAATCAATCTGACTGGATGATCTGGTGTCTGTAAAGGGCCTAGAGATGACATTGATCGCAACGAAAATTTATGAATTAATTGTTTTACTGATTAACGCGAAATTCATTATATCACCACAAACGTATTAGCTTTAGGTACAAATAATGATCCATTGATCATTCCTTGCTGACCGGACTTTTCCTTTAAATCATCATACATATAAAAAAAACGGTTATGAAAATTGGTGTTAATAATTTTATTTTTTTTTTATCCTTAAAGTGAATAGACATAATTTCAAAGGAAAAAGACAAAAAAGACAAAGGAAATATACAAGTAAAATACCAGCTTATAACTATTTTATTTAACTTATAATTAATAATACTAGTGATGCACGATATTGGGATTTTGGCCGATATCCGATATGTCGATATTTTAAACCTCATGTAACCGATATCGATACCGATGTTAAAGCTGGACAAAAATAAGTAGTCATTGAAAATAGCAGTTTTGTTATCCATCTCTGACACTTTGAAAAATAATATACTCAAATATATTTTCATATGCTGATATCAAATAGATTTTTAAAAACGCGGTATCGATCTATTTTACTTTCAAAATCTGGTGAAATGTCATCGTTCTGTTACAAACTCTCGTGATATTTTGCAAATTCTTGTGAGATTTTGTTAGTAAAATAGATCGATACCGCGTCAATATATCAACATATAAAAATATGGCAACATTTCGTGAATTTTCGGGGGATTTCGTAGCATAACGATGACATATAGCAATATTTTTTTAGTAAAAGAGATTGATATGGTGTTTTTAAATGGCAATATATCAGCATATGAAGATATTGGGATATTTTAATGGATCAATATTTTTTCCCTCGTCTTTAGAAGTTTTTAAGTCTGTAAAAACGAAGTTTTTGAGGAAGAAGAAGAAGTAGTTTTTTTTTTTTTTTTTTTAGACTTTAGAAACTCAGAAGCGGATCAAATATCGGGTTAAATATCGGTGGGGTGGCCGATGTCCGATATTCAGTTTTAAGGCCGATACCGATAGGGGGCCGATTATATCGTGCATCCCTAAATAATATGTATTTTATGGGGCAGCAAATTGTGCATTGTTATTTTTGGCGTCACGGGTTTGAATGTTTGGGAACTCCAGGGTTAGACCGATGTCAAAACAATAGTTATCCGCCTTAAAAAAAGTTTAAATTACTTTTAAGAGTTCTGTGTTAAAAAAAAAAGAAGAGAAGAGCTGATGATCTGTGATACAGGAAAGACCCCCGTCACATATGTATTTTTTCAGTTTTGGGCGTATTCATAACGAATCTAGAACTTTTGTCTTATGAACGGAAACACGTTCATTGTCGTCTGTAATAAGTCAGATACATTGATATGTGTTGGAGAGAAGTTCTTGATAAGTTAAGCACAAGTTACTCAGAGGTTTTGGATAAGCTAGACGCCACAACTTATGAGTAACTTACACTTAACATATGTAAACCGTCAGATAACTGACCTTTAACTTATGCCCTACGTATGAACATACGCTGGCATACGTCGAGAAATTTGGAGCTTTTTGAGCACGTATCTCTAGGTATTCCGGGATGCTTCAGCGTGCTCCTAATTTATACAAAATGTCCCCACAACTTATCCAACGTATGCAAGCGTTTTTGCCAGATTTTTCCAACGTCTGGCTAAATCTTCAAGGTGTGACAGAGGCTTAAGCCTGAGAATAACAACATCAGCAATCTCCTCTTTAAATGCCTTCCGGCTGCAGGTACCTTCCAGTTCACCCATCCTTTGTCCTTGTCATCAAAGCTCTGCTTCAGCTGCCCTCCCAGGCTCGTCACATAAAACTGCAGAAAGACAAAAAAAGTTGAGGTTTCACACCTGGACAGAACCCGAGACGCCTGACGCGGACATAAAGGCCGACCTGAACAGGATGCGAGGCTCGTCTGTTCACGGCGTAGCAGCGCTGGATCTGTTTGTGGAGCTTCCAAACGTCCTGCAGACACAGCGACGGTCAGTGTGCCTCACCTGCATCCATGGAAACTACAATGGCTTTAAAACCCGCTGACCTTGATGAGCATGAGGTCATCGAAGCTGCAGTCCACCACCAGCCTCAGAGAGCTGGGCGTCACGTCTCTACGTGGGCGTTTCCGGGGCCCCGGGCCGTCTCCTCTGTTCTCCTGCTGGATGTTCTGCCGTTGCTGTTTGCGCTGCTGCTTCCTCTCCTTTCTTCTCTGTCTGAAAACAAAAGGAGATGATGTCAGAGGTGCAGATGGTCTTCCTTCTCATTACAAACAGAAGCTGGATCCGAATATATGGTCTGCATCGTCTAAATGCCAGATTCAAAGGCTAATTACACCATATTGCGGCGCCAAGGTCTGTTTAGATTCCAAGACTCATCGTAATGCATGTATAGTTAATACAACTACTTCTTATTTGTACACATTATGTTTTAGATAAAAATCCTTTCTCTTAAATGCCATCAGAATGCTTATAATTCAGTGTCCACCATATTGGATCAGTCAATTTGCTGCACATGTTCAGAAAGGTCCAAACAGACAGCAGCAAACCATTTTAAAACAAACCATGCAAAGAGCAGTGTTGCTAACTTAGCGCTTTAGTCGCTATATTTAGCCACTTTTCAGACCCCTCTAGCACTTTGATTTCTAAAAAGCTCCTAGCGCCAAATCTAGCGACTTTTTTCTGCTACTGGAGACTTTGGAGACAACATCTAAAAGCAGCGAACTCTGCTCTCCAGAGCGAGTAGATTGGTAACCCCGCCTCCTGCTCTCCTCTATCTTGTCTGCTGTCATGATTCATGCAGCTATTATTTCATCCAAATGAAAAATGGAGAACAGATAAGCAGATCATGGCTTGTCTACAGTGAAAAGAAGGACTGGGTTATTTACTTTGGCCTTTTTGGAAACACAGGAAGGAGCAATCAGCTAAGTGAGCTTAGTGCTTGGAAAAAATCTTTCATTCCTTTAGAGACAGCATGAAAAGTCAGCTGAGTACAAAACATAGAGAGGAAAACAAGAAGAGAGGGACACAACCTAGAACAGATAATGGATGTCTATTCTATTAACATTTCTCTATTCAGAGGGCCCCCTGCCTGTCTTTGCCTAGGGCCCCAAATTTCCTAAATCCGCCGCTGGTAGTGACATGCAATCACTGACTATTTCATGCATTCAGCAGCAGCCCCTCAATGTTTTAGGCTTTTTCTTTTTAATCGAGCCGCTTGTAAAGTTTGACATCATGGAGTCATTTTTATAAAGTAAACACAGTAAGAAAAATGGATCGACCCAATTTGATGAGCAGCACAAAGTAGGGATTGATTAAACTGATGCTGAAATAATCAGCACCGAATTTAGCCTTAAGAAACCTGCATCCACTTCTGAGAAGAACTTTAAAGAAAACACAAAATCAAAGATTAAGAGAAAAGAAGAGATAAGGTAACTCGTGAATGACTTTGGGGGACCGCAGACAATCAGGGGCCATAAAAGGCCTTCGGGTCTCACTTTGGGCCCCCTGCATTACCAGCTATGACAGATCGATGCTTACTTTCGCAGCTCCCTCTCCTCCTCCCATTTCTGCTGCTTCAGCAGCTTCTTCATCTGCCTCTTGGACAGGCTCTGCTCCTCAGTGCCGCTCCGGTTCTCGCTCCTTTCCCCGGAGGAGGCTGAAGCTTCCCCGCCAGCATCAGCCATCTGGGCCCGCTAGCCGCTCCCTGCGGTGGCCGCTAAAACAACAAACAAAATAACGTTCAAATCTCCACTAAATTAACGGAAAACTCTCCGCAAGCCTCACATGTTTTGGGCGCATGTGTGACGTCAGTAAGTGGCGACAGATGATGCCTTCAATAGCGTCTGAATTAACAGTGTTCAAATCAAAAACCGCTATAACTCAACCCTATGGAAGAGGAATAACACTAAATCACAAATCTATTTTAAAAAAGGAATGCTTTAACAAAGACATTATTTATGATACAGATTTATTGGATGATAACAGAGATATTTTAAATCATTCCGATTTTTTTATATATAATGTAAATTGTTCTCTAAGAGTACGAAAGAGTATTAGGGCCAGGTTAGAGTTTTTTTTATTTATTTTGAAAATAAAGTCGTAACATTACTAGAATAAAGTCATCATACAACTCGTTTCAAAAAGAAAGCTTGGAGCTCCGCCCAGTTTATGACCGGTGTAGGTACCAGATTGACTCGGGGGCCTGCGCCTTTTGATGACGTCACAATACATAATTGTTTTAACGTTTGCACAATTGCGCAAAACATTTTGATTGGTCTGGACAGCTTACTAAAGTAATTATAGCGGGGTGTAGGTTTTATTCGAAAGCGAGATTGCGGTTTGTAAACGGACAATTTTACGGAGAAATTCTCCATGGTCCCTGCGCCTTCCGATGACGTCATCGAATTCGCCATGGGCCTTGCGCCTCCCGATGACGTGACATTATGGCAACGCCACTCAAACAAACTACATTGAGCCCGCGGTCTGCATTTGTAATGACAATAAATTCAGGAGAATGAAGCTAAAGGGATACAAAAAATAAACTTGTAATATTACAAAACCAAAAATACTACGAATACAAAGTATATTCAGAGATTAAAGTCCCTCTGATACTGTTTAAGTGATTGAGAAACTACAGATTTGCCACATTTAAGATGGCGGACGCTCTGACGCATCTCAAAAGGCGCAGGCCCCCGAGTCAATCTGGCAGCCCGAGTCAATCTGGTACCTACACCGTCCCCAGGTTCACCACTAATCACATGGTGAAATTTGCAGACGACACCACGGTGGTGAACCTCATCAGAGACGACAACGACCTGGACTACAGAGAGGAGGTGGAGCAGCTGGTGGAGCAGAGATAACAGCCTGATCCTGAAGGTGGAGAAGACCAAGGAGATCATGGTGGACTTCAGGAAGAAGCGGCGTAACCACGCTTCACTGCTCATCAACAGCTCAGCTGTAGAGGTGGTCAGCAGCACCACATTCATCACAGACACCCTCACCTGGACTGGAAACACCACCTCACTGATCAAAAGGACCCAGAAGCGCTTGGACTTCCTGCTGAGGATGAGGAGAGCCCACCTGCCCCCCCTCCACCCCCCTTGAGGAGGCTTGGTCTGTAGAAGGCTTGGTTCGTAGGAGAGCAGACAGGCAGACTATGGGAATCCTGAGGAGCAACTTAGCAGACTGACTCTTGGTTCCTGAAGGGCTCAGCGTTCAGATGAGGAGATCTGTCTCCTTTTCTCAGTGTGAAGAGTGTTTTCCCTTCCAGAATAGAGACTGACATGGGAGTGGATTTTCACTCCCACTCTCACAGAAAAAAATTGTGTCCCGTCCCGATCCCGGGCCAGAGTAGAAATCTAAATCCTGTCCCGTCCCACTCCTGGTGAAATTACTCCCACTCCCATTCAGAATGACTCCCGCTCCTGCACCACTCCCATTCTTGTTGTCTTCAATAAGATTTCACTTTTTTCGAACTTTTTCGATGTCGAGTTCGCCACTAACTGTTGGTCCCTCCATTGTTGTTTTTGAGCGCGGGTGAAAAACTCAGAGCGGAAGCACTGTTGGTTTTTGGGTCATGTAGTTTTTTTAACTCGCATTATAGTGTAGGCTTCAAGGAAAAAAACTACAAAATGGCGGCGTCAGTACTGGATATTTTTTCTTTCTATTTTATTTTTTTTTTAGCATAGATCCTAGTTTTTTTTAGTTACTAATGGTTTGCTCCCGCTCCCGTCTGCTCCCGTTAATGTTTAATCCTGTACCGTCCCAATCACGTGATCGTTACTAATGCTGACTCCCATCCCACGGGAATCCCACGGGAATCTCGTGACCCGTGGGATTCCCGAAAAAATGTCAGTCTCTATTCCAGACTTGAAGGGCCAACTTATTCAGAGGATCTTGAAAATCCTGCCGAAGAATCAAAGACAAAAAAAAGGTTAGAACTGAAGAGCTCTGAAGACTCAAAGTTGACTCAGAAAACACAGAGGGGCTAGACTACCCAATACTGGCAAACACTCTGACGATGAAGTGAAGACAGTCTGCTCCTTAAATACTCCTCAGGGACTGATGGCCCAATAGGCTGCAGGTATGAGGTGAGAAGAACAGGAACAACCTCCAGACCAGCAGAAGACAATGGCACCATCTAGTGGGTGAACGGTGGAACTACAAAAGAGCATAAACAAGCCCCACAAACTGGAATCCGAACAGCACTACCTGGAGGCATAGGTCTAATTGCTTATGAATCAGAAGTGGAAGCAAATCATCAAACCAACAACGTCGTCTCATTTCCTGAAAGTTAAACTCAAGATTTTTTACAGAATCACACATAGGCTGCCGTGACTTATACTTATAAATCCTCTCCAGCTGTTGTGGTATTGAAGGATGGAATCAGTTTTAACACACGCCAGTCATCTTATGACGAGAAAACAGCTCTCGTTATCTTTAGGTAATGAGAAAATTAACCCGTTTTCTCCACAAAACCATCACGAAAAAGTATCTGAGAGACAAGGCCGCTCTGGGCTTCCGTACTTTTCCTTCTGTTTTTAAAGTAATGATTTATTTGTGTGTGAAAAGTCTGAAATTCATATTTTCTGAAATAAAAAAAGTGGAAAAACTTCAGTGGTGCATGACCATGTGCCGTGACAGAGCGTAAAACCTGCGCACTAGTTCAGGACCCCGGCGTGATCGCGGTTCAATGCATCAAGCATAAACCAGGTTTCAGTCCGACCTGCACCTGCTTAGGAGATCAGCTTTTCAGGCGCTATCAAGTTTTTAGACGCTCAGACTTTCAGTAGATCAGAGCGGTGGGACGGTTTGTACCGACGTAACACATGAACAAGGATTTGTTTAAATGCAACATGTTAAACTTCAACCTCTGACTTTTTTTTTCTTTTAATTACATTTTTTCCTTCCAACCAAAGTAGAGTTTACCTACAGGGAGAAATTTCCTGGGACAGTAAATACAGATATCATTAAAGTTTCCATTGGAAGACCAGTGTTTATAAAAGCCCTCTAAGCCTGTCAGAGTGTTAATTGCAGACTGCATTGCGCATTAGTCAGGGTTATGTGAGTGTGTGGTATGGCTCTGGGAGTGATGGTATGTGTCATCGAGTCACTCAGATTGGATGACTGAGGATATACAGTTGGATCTCTGCAACCTGAGCCTGCATGTATCCCACCACCCCCTCCATCCTTTACCTGACCCACTTACCGTGTGGATCCGTTTCCATGATATGCTTACAGCCCCACATCAGCGGCGGGAAATGAAACACCAGCTGGAAGCGCACTCTCAGACCCCTGCAGCTTGGTATTCAGCTGCAGCTTCTTTTGAAGATATTCACTATATTTCCTGAGGTTTTTCCTCCAACATCCAAATGATTGGAGCCCAGTGTTCCAGTCCCTCCCATGGCCACAGCAGGTGTATAAAATCAAGCACAAAGGCATGCAGGCTGTTCTTATAAACATTAGTGACAGGATTTGGTCTGCAAAAACAATAGAGAAATAAGTAAAATATTCTTAAATTAAGTGTATTTCCCTGATTTGCCAATGAAATGAGTATTTTTACTCTTAAAATAAGATAATTAGATACATTGTCCATTCATTGTCCATGCACCCTAGATGCACCAGGGCAGTGTTCTATAAAGTACTGAAATCCCGGAGTCAAGTAAAAGTATAAGTTCCTCTCCAAAATATGACTTTGGTAAAAGTCCAAGTCACTGACTGAAATGTTACTTGAGTAAAAGTCTTAAAGTATCTGAAATGGCTTGTACTTAAGTATAAGAATTACTGTAAAAATAGATGTACTCAAGTAATGATGAGTTACCACTCACTCATCGGTTTCCATTTGCATGTTTCCAAGCGATACAAGGCTTTGTCTATATAAGACTCAAACTCACTGCGGATCCAGACATTTGAATTGAGAAAGCTTCCTGGAGAGGTGGAGAAACGTCTTCAAATCTTGGAAACTAAGTCCAGTGGATATTTTTTTAACTTTTACGGAACGTCAAAGTTTAAGTATCATCTATAAAGAATAAACACCCAGAACCGCTGCTGAGCTACAAAAAGATCTTCAAGATGTTCTATTGAGAAAATATCCGGTGGACTGATGAGATGAAAGCTGAGCTTTGCAGAACGAAAGAGTTCTGTTACATCGGCAGCAAAAGTAACAGAAAAGGACATTGTACAGTAGTAGCTATTCAAAATTTACCCATTTTTCATTTATAGGTCCTTGGCTGGTCCTTTGCTGGTCCTTTGCTGGTCCTTGGTTGGTCCTTGGCTGGTCCTTTGCTGGTCCTTTGCTGGTCCTTGGTTGGTCCTTGGCTGGTCCTTGGTTGGTCCTTAGTTGGTCCTTTGCTGGTCCTTGGTTGGTCCTTTCCTGGTCCTTGGTTGGTCCTTAGTTGGTCCTTTGCTGGTCCTTGGTTGGTTCTTTGCTGGTCCTTTGCTGACACTTGGCTGGTCCTTGGTTGGTCCTTGGCTGGTCCTTGGCTGGTCCTTGGTTGGTCCTTGGCTGGTCCTTGGCTGGTCCTTGGTTGGTCCTTGGTTGGTCCTTGGCTGGTCCTTGGCTGGTCCTTTGCTGACATTTGGCTGGTCCTTGGCCGGTCCTTGGTTGGTCCTTGGCTGGTCCTTGGTTGGTCCTTGGCCGGTCCTTGGTTGGTCCTTGGCTGGTCCTTTGCTTGTACTTGGTTGGTCCTTGGGTGGTCCTTGGCTGGTCCTTTGCTTGTACTTGGTTGGTCCTTGGCTGGTCCTTGGTTGGTCCTTCGCTGGTCCTCGGCTGGTCCTTGGCTGGTCCTTTGCTGGCACTTGGCTGGTCCTTGGCTGGTCCTTG